TGAATAATAATCAGAATCATACTAATTTTAATAACATAGCGACAGAAAGAATTCCATATTCATAAGACATTCGAGTCGATTGTAAAATGTCGACTACTAGTATATCATGAGCATGTGTTTATAGAATAGTGATTGTACCAGGTGTTCCTGGAAAGGTATGTGTATCCTCCCCCGCCGGTGGCACTCATCGCAAACTCACTGTTAAATACTTAAAACAACAAGCAAACAGACCAACAGCTGTAATTTGAGAACCGATGACAAGGTGTCCAATGAAACGTTTTTAACATTTTCCAGAGAAGTTCTTGCAAATTTTGCAAGTTGCGTTTTGGTGAATGTAACCATGGGAAATATAATGGAATCTTGCCTGATAAAAAATGTAAATCATTTTATAATCATATTCCACTTCAGTTTTTTATATCACCCATCGAACATCTTCGCGTTTCTTTTCTGTTGCATTCTTCGAGAACACCTGGTATCATTGCTGTTTGATAGTGATCCACAGACACATGCTCATGATATAGTCGGACTCGTAAAATGGATTTCTTTTTAATATGGAAATGGTTTTCCCCCTTTTATGTTCTTGGAGTTGAGTATATTAATGTATGTATTAATGTATGTTTTAACAGCCTATAAGAACCAGTACCAGAACGCATGGATAAGGGGAGGCTTGATACGGATGGACCACGCATCGTAAGTAGCACTCGGATTCAGCAATGATCGCAGTGTCCTTTGTTTGTGCTATAAGGGAAGAGTTTACACTGATATCCTGTCAAGTAACTCACTCTATTATAATACATTGTTTTCTATATAGAACATAAACCTCGTGAACTTGTTTTGGGCATTTTCACTTGTGGATCTCAACATATTACAGCTGTTATATAACACCAGCCACAAAAGAAATCGATAATTATTTTCTCTCTATTGTAAGGTGGTTCTGATAGAAAATATGTCCATGAAACTCAAGTCGCATGAATGATATACTGTTTTGTGTTGATCTTATCAACAGGTTTGCTGACAGTGGACGTAGCTTAACAATGGCCAGGTTTGTTGTCCTGTATATTCGATCATTTCTTTGTTCTTTCATTCGTGAGTGCACACACACATACACGTGCATGCACGTCGCTATATAAGTGCAATAATCTCGGACGCGACGTTAAACCCCATTTCACCTCGTATCACGGCGAGGGACACTTGAGGTATACTGACATATTTTCATGTATGCATTCTTATAATATGCTTTTAACATCGCATTAATTCTCTTTTAACAACATTTGTCCATTACGTGTTAATAACGGTATACTCCATTCCATTCTCGCTGGTTCCCTAATCTTGCGGCAATACATTTTATACGCTATAAACAGACAACGATGGTTACTAGGAAAGGCGATGACGTCGTTTATCGCAAACTTTTCCAGAATGTTCCGACTATTTTAAAGTAAGAAGTCATAAAATAATGAGGAAGTAATAACAGCGTTTTACAGCACCTGAATGCTGTCCCATAACTTATTACTGCTTACAAAACACAGTCAACCATGATGCCTTGATAAACTATAAGACTTGCCACGGTTAAATTGTCTTTATTCAAAAACGAACAGAGAACTGTAAGTACCGCGAGATTAGGGTAGCCCAGTCTGCCGTATTTACTTCAAAGCCTCGTCATGCCGAAAACCCGGGTTCGATTCCCGACATGGGTACAATGTGTGAAGCCCATTTCTGGTGTCCCCCGCCGTGATATTACTGGAATATTGCTAAAAGCGGCGTAAAACCATACTCACTCACTCACTCACTCACTTCAAAGCCACTGATAGTTTTATGATCAGCAACGAAGCAGTGTATACGAAGTATACGCAAGTGTGTGGTCGGTCACTGTGTCCACGGTGTTACTTTCCCAGACGTTCGCTGTCTAATTTAAACTGATTCACATTCCAATGAATAATGAGGCCGTTTTGTTCAAATGACACTTAAACATACACGACTCCTCCTTTAATCAGAGTTGCGGCTGACCAATCACTGACCAACTCCATCGTAATCGGCGAATCCCGGAACCTGGGCGAACCTTCACGGATCTCCCTTGGCAACCAAAAATACACCGACATGCCGCGAAGTATTCCGCTTCCATATGACCCGTAAGTTGCATCATGTGTCTTTTGGTCGGGGTTGGGTTTTTCAAAAATATTTTTTTCACGAATATTCCAACAACATAATGGCGGTGACAGTCGAATCTGGACCAGGCAAACAAGTGAGTGAAAGTATGAGCATCTAGATGCCATCGTTGTAGGGTGAAACGCAATTAGTCTTAAGGCTACTTTTATGACAACTTGGCACAATTGGAACCTATTATTCCCGGAATTCCACGACAGTGGCCCTGGAACTAATTTATTAAGAAGTTCGTGTCACACTGAGATGATTATGTTATTTAAAACACAAACATTGTCAGGATTCTTACTGTCATATTGTACCGGTGGGGAAAGTCGAACGCGGGCCTTCGTGTGCCAGAGCTTTCACCACTTGGGTTCCCTGTCCCCCGCCGTGATGTTGCTGGAACATTGCTAAAAGCGGCGTAAAACCATACTCACTCACTCTCTCACTCGGCTACCCGCTGCCCGTGAGCCAGGGGGGTAGGGCTGGGAGGAGTCCAAAGTCACTACACGGGTGCCCGCTGTAGATATTTTGAGATAGGTACAAATTGTCCGATTTGGAAAGGTTTGACCGTAGCTCTGGCAAAATGTATTTATATACGAGTGTAAAACGATCTGGTCACGCATAGACTTACGTTTACTGCATGAAGTTTTATCTTTATCCAAACATATAAAAGTCAAAAGGAATGGGTGCATTGTCAGAAAGAAATGCGATAATTAGTGACTTGTAGTGTAACCATAGAGTTTTAGATAATGTTTGTCATTACACAATATATCACGTGACTAACCACGAGTCCGGGTTGTCCTGTGGGTACCCGGGTTCTACTCACTACCCACCCGACCCGAGTACCCGAGTTACCCGCCTACAGGGAGGTGACGTTAAGGAAGTGTAAATGCACTTGGGGTGGGGTGGGTAGGGGGTGTAGGTGTGATGAGAGCTGTTCAGTTTTACAGCACAGTAGCAGTGAAGAAGTGAGTGGGTTTGGATTAGCACTACCTTGTAAAGCGGACCAGTCCTTCTTGGGGATGCAACTTTGCTTCCGCCGTCTCCTGTAGGAGGGTCGGGACGTTGACGTCTGATATTGGATGTTGAGTGCTAGTGGAGAGTGGATGGATGTGATTCTCTTTACTGTTAGGCTGTACATTTGTCTGCGCTATGTGTATTAAGCCTTCATTGTCAACACCGTCAATCTCACGAAACCTTTTACTGCGCTTCCATAACGTCCCACGTAAAGGTCAACCAGCATTCCACGTCAGGTGAACCCTAAACATAGTTTGACCGAACCGTCAAAATAAAACATGCATGGGTTCATGAAACTATCGATGTCAGTTTAAAACGATTCAACTTAATATTATTTTGTCAACACGGCCCGTTGTCAATCACAGTTTTTCTCCAAGATTCGGAAATTTCGCTCTGAACAAATGAAAGTGTTGATTTCATGACGCTCAGAAAAAAAACGATGTTTAAAACATGTTGTCCATTCCAAACTGCTCGTTAACGTTCATTGACGAGATACACGTAGCAGACTTGCTGTTCCATATGCTTCGCACGCTCGTAACGAGAATAACGAGATTAACTCATCAGAATGTTCCCCTCAAGTGATCTCCTGTGGAGGGTTTTCTGATCTCCACGCAGAGAGGAATCGAATCGAAGTGAAAAGTCTGATCCTTATGACATTGTGAACACCATCAATTGAGAGACAAACACCGGTTAACAAATTTTGAAACAATCACTTTTGTAAAGGAATGTGTGTTTCTTGTGTTTGTTGTTTAACGCCGTACTCAGCAATAGTCCAGCTAATTGACGGTGGTCTGGACCAGACGATTCATTGATGGAAATCATAAGCATCGATCTACGCAAATGGGATACGATGACAAGCAAGTGAGCCTGACCACCACATCCCGTTCGTCGCCTCTCACAAGCATGGGTTGCTGAAGATCAATTCTAACACTGATCGTCAAGGGGAGTTAATTTAACAATCGTTTGTACAGAATTTCAGATATAAATTTACAATGTTTTATGAATGAATATGTTGGAATTTAGTGGGTGAGTGAGTGGTTGGGTGAACGAGTAAGTGTGTTTGAACGCCTCTTTTGGATCATTTTTCAGTTCACATGAGAAATTATATTCAAGTTAGTTTACAAAGCTTGTAGTCTATCATTAAAAACTACCTGCTCTGGTCTACAGCCACCAGCCCTTGACCGGGTTCAACTTCTACGACGGCCCCGTGTACATAAAGAACGTGTGGTTCAGCAGCTTCATCAGCAACATCAACTACACGGCGGGGGCGATCGGCTTCCTCCGAAAGAACGATTACAGTTCATCTCCATCCAACATGGCCACCAATGTCAAGTTTAACTTTTTGGACGGAGTAAATTAATCATTTACAAATATAAACTCAAAATAATTTGAACGTGTAGCAATATAAATGGATTCAGGAACTTTGCAATAGAATGTCAGTGAACATACCATGTACAGGCCTGGGGTTGCAAAGAGATATCAAAGCACCAAGGTCTACATGTTAATCTTAATCGATGTATTGCGAATGCATTATGAAGTCTGTAAACTTATACCTTTTTGTAAGTATTGTTTTTGTTTGTTTAATTGCTTAAGGTAATGTCAGATATTAACTGCATTTCATTATAAATCATTTGAGAGAGTAAATGTAGTTTTTTTAAACTATCATAAAAAAATGACATACCGTTAAATACAAAGAAATTAAATTCACTAGCGGAATGTTCGTTATTTTACCAGCTGAATGGACTTTTACACCACGACACATGAACGTTCAGCTCGGCGATAAGTCAATCAGTTAGCTGGCTTTTATTACGAGTAATGACTATGTTCTTTGTATTCAGCCATCAACGGGTAACCGCGTGTATGACGGCAATGAGACCATCCACGGCTTTGGCAACAACGACGGCGACAAGACCGCCACCATCAGGGACACCGATGGCTCCCTCACTGGGTACCCGGGGGCAACGGTCGTGAAGCCGGGGTCGTTCTACCACAACTCCAGGTGCTACAGACGGGACAACTGGAACATGCAGATATGTCCCCAGGAGTTCGGCTCAGTAGGTTCAGCATGTCCAGTGTGTGTTGACAATCCGTGTAGAACTTCGGGCTTTTTGTACCTCCCATTAAGCCGATTAGCTGTGATATAATTGAAATACTGTTGTTTAAAGCCACGTTCACCATACTCACTTACTTATCATCAAAAAGGGTAGAGTAATATGGTGTAAACATCGTTCAAATTACTTTGAAAGATTTTGCAAATAGTGAACTGTATCTACACACATATGCTGTCGAAAATGGCAATTATCAATTATGTTTCACGGTTTTACTGATTGTGGATTCAAAATACCACATTTATCATAAACTTATAGGGGGCTCTTAAATTTAAGTCTCAAGTGGCCAATGATGATCAAATCAGAACATCCACAATAAGCGTGAAATTTAGACTTTGGAGTCAGAACAGAGCACATGTCATGAAAACCTCCCAAAGGACCGACCATTTGATATTCTCGGGGTTTGTGGTTTTTTTTGTAAAAAAAAATAAATTGACCCCTGAAAATTCTTGAAAAAATAATGCTTCAGGCTGTTGAAAACAAAGAAATTGCCTGCCACAAAACGTACATGGTTGCAAGGCGTTCTGTAGCTGTAGTTGTAGCTGTACAGTAAACTACGTTTATAACGAACACGCTTATAACGAAATGACGGATATAACGAACTTACTTTTTTGTCCCGACTATTTGCTGTAGTTATGCTGTATGTATGCTTATAACGAACTACGGTTATAACGAACTAAAATTAGTGGTCCTCTTGAGTTCGTTATAACCGTAGTTTACTGTATATCTAATCTCGATGCAAAATCTCAGCCTCCTCCCCAAGCATGGCAAATGGTCCGTCCCGCAGTAGATTTACCTCGAGTAAAATTACCTAAAATCTATATGAATATTATCCAAGCAAATAATATTTCCAGGAAACACATGACAGTAAATATTAACAGACAATCACTCTACCACTCACCCTAAGGGAGAACATAGGTCCCCAGCAACCCGAGCTCTTCGCAAGAGGAGACTTGGTTGAATAGGCGTCATTGTATCCCAATTGCGTAGATCGATGCTCATGATTTTAATCACTGGATTGTCTGGCCTAGACTCGATTATTTATAGACCGCCGTCATATTCCTGGAGTATTGCTGAGTGCACTTGGACATAAGACAAACCATTAAAACATCCATGACTTCATCGTATAATCGATGTAACACACACTAACTAATGTTCCCGTACAGTTGTCAATACGACTAGGCAGTGCCGGAGACCACGGCAAGACCCACCCCTTCATGATCAGAGACGACAATCCTGCAGTGAAGATGACGGAGACGTGGGCGCGTTCGGCGTCGTTCCCGGTGACGCTTGGGGGACAGCACAGCTACACACTGCACTGGAGCGGCATTGTACCCCATGAGTTCCATATTGTCGGGGACGGAATTGATAAGTAGGCAAACGGAAAATATTATATGTCAGATTCTGATATTGTGCTTTTGATTGTAATATTCAAAGGAAGAGAGACGAGGAGAAGTGAGACTTTCGCAATCTCTTAGTCTCAAGAGGCACGGCTGGCCTAATCGGCAAGGCTTTGTAAATCGACGTGCAAATTTGGTTTCCTAAGGCTTCCTGTATTTTATACAGTAAACTACGGTTATAACGAACACGCTTATAACGAACTGGCGGATTTTACTAATTTACTTTTTAGTCCCGACTATGTGCTGTAGTTATGCTGTATATATGCTTATAACGAACTACGCTTATAACGAACTAAAAGTAGTCCCTTTGAGTTCGTTATAACCGTAGTTTACTGTAGTGGGTTTGAAACCCAGATTCGCCTTGTTTCTAGGTTCGTCAGAAGTGTACCATATTCGTTAAAAGCGGTAAAAGTCCACGACTTGTATCACTTGGGGTGTACCTCCCCAACAAGCCGACTCTCACTCGGGAAATTGTTCAAATCTGTTTTAATATATTAACTTTTGTGTCGTCACATGACACATCGAAGGTTTATTATTGGTCATAATTCTCAGTTATCTTGTCCTTCCCGTTCTTTATGCAATACGGGATTTTTCGGATTTCTGTACAACGAACAATTTCAAACATCGGGATCTGATTGTAATAGCTGTTCCTACATTGCTTTACAGAGATCAGGGGCGGTCGGGTAGCCTAGTGGTTAAAGCGTTCGCTAGTCACGCCGAAGACCCGGGTTCGATTCCCGACATGGGTACAATGTGTGAAGCCCATTTCTGGTGTCCCCCGCCGTGATTTTGCTGGAATATTGCTAAAAGAGGCGTAAAATCCTACTCACTCACTCACTTACAGAGATCACTGGCTTCGGTTCGGCGTTTGTCTGCCACGAGACGGCAAGTTTCACATCTGGCAGTTTAGCCCAGTGTACCGTGATAGCGGATCGAAATGGGACAACCAACATTGGACGGAACTGGCGAGTGTAGCCGAGCTCGAGAAAGACACATCGGGCGAAAGCTACTTCTGGGACAAACATACAGGGTAAGATCGTTCAGTTGAACCCTGCTCGATAATACTGTCACTTGTCATGTAGTCGCTAGAACCTGATTATCAACATAAAGTTTGTTGGTTTGTTGTTTAACGCCGCACTCAGCAATATTCCAGCTATATGACGGCGGTCTGTAAATAATTGAGTCTGGACCAGACAATCCAGTGATTAAAATCATGAGCATCGATCCACGCAATTGGGATCGATGATATGCATCACCCCGATCCCGTTAGTCGCCTTTTACGACAAGCATAGTCGCTTTGTATAGGTTTCTGAAGACCTATTCTACCCCGGATCGTCACGGGTCTTATCAACATGACGTTGTATTCAATGTGCCACAGGTTGATGTTCTTCAAGATGTTCGACAACAACGAGAGGTTCAACAACGAGACTGACGCATGTCCCAACGGCTGCCCCTACATCCGCATCCAAGTCCTCTCCGGCAACCTCCACGACGGCGATTGTTCCTCCAGGGCATACGGACCGTACAGACGGAGTCCTGTTGTACGTATCGTAATGCCTCGACCTATAAATATAAGGCAATGTTACCCGTAAATTAATTTCTTTCAGTGGCATTTAGAAGTTGGTGTGATGAAGTAAGACAAGTTCTATGGGTGAACAACTTCTTTATTACGTCGCACTAATTGTAATAAATAAGTTGTTCATCCATAGAACTTGTCTTACCGTAAATTAATTACCTTTCAGCGTTTCAATCGAATACAATTATTATTATTTTTTTTAAAGTAATAATTATAAGTATGTCAATAGTGAATCAGCGTAAACATAGGCGCATCTTTATGCAAGTTCAAAGGTCGCCTGTTTACCCAGCAGCAGATGGGTACCCGGGAGATGAGATGACAAGCAAATCTTCTCTCCCCCATGCTCCACAGGGGATGAAATGTGAATGCATGCTGATTAACTTGGTTTGTTGGTTGGTTGGTTGTTTAACGCCGCACTCAGCAATATTCCAGCTATATGACGGTAGTCTGTAAATAATCGAGTCTGGACCAGACAATCGAGTGATTAATATCATGAACATCGATCCACGCAATTGGGATCGATGACATGCATCAACCAAGTCAGCGAGGCTGACCACCCGATCCCGTTAGTCGCCTTTTACGACAACGTGGTCGCCTTTTATGGCAAGCATTGGTTGCTGAAGACCTATTCTACCCCGTAATCTTCACGGGTCTGAATGAGGTGATTATATCCTGATGTTTACAGCCAAGGGTCACGTTTTACAAAGAGATTTGAGAGCAAGGAGTATCGTAAGTCTATGTTAAAGTATGGGAGCTCCGATACTCGTAGCTCTGCGGTTTATCGTCAACATGGTACAAATTATCCTGTATTTTTGACAGGCTGGTGTTCACACTCTGCACAAGAACGCCCTACAGGCCACGGCCAGTCAGCCACCAAGGGTACGTAACTCTGTCTTATAATGTACACACAATAATGTCATTTGACAACGTATGTGACAAAAAACACAATTATATGGAGGAATTCTCAGTTTTTTACTCCGATATGGTATCTCCCAGCGTGAACGTCTGAAGACACCGCCATAGAAGGTCGCGTCAGGTGAACCTTTCACTGCAAAAAAAAATAAAGCCGCGCCATGATTTAATTGAGGAATCTTGTACACCCTGTCGATCCTTAGCACTGAGGCTTCTGTGCCCTATGAGAGTAGGATCGAAAGAATATTTGTGTTCTGTGAGGGTTTTCATTTGTACAATCGGAATTACCGAGTCTGAGGGGTAAAGAAATGAAGTCGACTCGTTTAAGAAAGCCGACATCTGATTGGTTCAAGAACCCACGTGTTCTTCATTCAGACTAGGCGGTCAAAGTTCACTGGGGTTCTTCTGACGCGACATTCTTTTGAGATATCCTCAGATCATAAGATCTTATCTTAATGAGATTCAAGTTTCAATTCTCGAGTTCAGCTGAAACATTTTCAAGGACCTCGCCCATTGCAATTAACAGAGCAAACTGGAAAAAAGTTATGTGCCGAATACAATCGATGACTTTTGATAACACTGGTAAAATATGGATAAATATAACGACAAATCTTGCACCACACACCGTGGTAAAAATTGAAATATAACCTCAAGTCTGAGGGGAAATTGTTATTAATGTGTGAACATCACTGCTTGATTTTGTATCTGGGGGCACGGGTGGCCCAGTCGTCTAAGGCGCCGCGATTCGCTGTGCAGAGTTGCGTCCCTTGGGCACGCCAGAAACCTATGATTGCGGGTGTTCGAATCCCGGTTCAACCCGATTATGTTTCTAGGTTTGTCAGCACCATACCCGTGCTCGTGGGTTTCACCGAAGTGGTAAACGTCTGATGCCTGCATCACTTCGGGCTTTCCTCCCACACTAAGCTGACACGCCGCGATATAACTGGAATACTGTTAAAAGCGGCGTAAAACCAAACTCACTCACTCACTCACTGATTTTGTATCTATCCAGGACTGGGGTGCAGGGCGGACCCGTCCGTTCTTGACTCGGACTCCGGTCAGTGGTCAATACGGTCAGTGGTCAGGCTGGTCCCACTGCTCCAACACGTGCGGAGGTAGTTCATTGCATCTGAGTCTATATTGTTCTTATTTATAACATTGTATACCTCTTAGGTGGATTACCTATGTCATAACCATATTAATTCATTCTCGTGATACAAATAATTCTTCAGGAAGAAATTCAGTCAACGAGAACAAGGATTAACGTTGTTTTTTGTTTTGTTGTTTATGTTTATCATCTTGATATATCTGTACCATGAGGGGCGATGCAGTAGGCTAGTTGGTAAAGCGTTCGCTCGTAACGGCTCGGTTCAATTCCCAATATGGAAACCATGTTTAACTTACATTTTATGAGCCCGCCTCCCGGATGTCGATATAAATAAATATGTATTTTCCAAAAGCGGTTTACATAACACTCATTGTGTCGAAATTACTATTAGACAGTTGTCAGTTCTGGTTTAGTGAAACATTAATATAACCCGCATTTCTGGTGATTTTTGATAACAAGAGTCTAAAAGCTGCTAACAAGGTGGATATAATCGGGGGCTTAGTTTTGACCTCTTTACGACCTGCATAGCTTCTGTCATTTTGACAAACATGTTTTAATCCTGCGTTCCAGGAGGTTCTCAGACAAGGCACAGAGCCTGTGACAATAAGCATGGCGCCGAAGACTGTCAGCGCCATCACGTAGAGCATAGAGCATGTAACACCAAGCCTTGCCCCACATCGTTGCTGATGGGTTGAGCACATGAGAGAAGCCGCCTGTTCATCTCCCGGGTGTACAGTCACTGATATTATATAATTAAGTGGTACACACTCCGCGCTGACTGCATAACACCCTACATCGATATTATATTTAATATATGAATAAACTTTATGATAATCTTAGGTTTTCTGGATGACGTTTCTGAGGATGTTGCAGTTTTCAACAGTTAGCTGTGGCAACGCACTACACCTAATAATAGTGTAGCGCTATGAGCATCCACTTGGTGAATGGAATCTGGCGCATTATAAATGCACTTATTATTATTATTATTATTTTTACCTTGATAACAAGTTTATTGTTAGATAATGGATGCCCAAAGATTCAGATGTCAGATTAGGGATGGTTTTGTTTTTGTTTGCTAAATACAACACAGTTCGTTAAATTGAGGTAGTACTCGTGAAGATCCGGGGTAGAATAGGTCTTCAGCAACCCATGCTTGCCGTAAATTGCGACTATGCTTGTCGTAAGAGGCGACTAACGGGATCGGTTGGGCTCGCTGACTTGGTTGATGCATGTCATCGTATCCTAATTGTGTGGATTGATGCTCATGATGTCAATCACTAGATTGTCTGGTCCAGACTTGATTATTTACAGACCGTCATCATATAGCTGGAATATTGCTGAGTGTGGCGTTAAACAACAAATATACAAAACAAAAACGAATTGAGGTAGTTGTATGTATACTGTTTTTTCCTTGCATCCATATGAGGATCACTGACAGGAGGGAGGAATTAGTTTAATTACGTTTCTTCAGCTCTTTCAGAGTTAATTTGAAGCCTGAGAGGTATTGTTGTCAATGTTCGTACATATTTAAACAATATACATTAATATTTAAAAAAACAGGAAATCCAATTGAAAGTTATGAATACCTAAGGAGGCAAAAAGAAACATTATCTATGAAGGTACTCGGGCTTACTAGTCAACCAAGAGGGTTGCTGAGACTGTCGCACGTGCCACGAATGAGTCGAAGGAAGATAGAAATAAGAGCGACAGACATTTGCGGACCTCTGTATTTGAACCAGTATGATGACGTCACGCTATTGTTGTTGCAGTTGACCAATGAGCGGGATTTCAGGCGCCATTCTGAACGTGCATTTTACAGTACAACTTCAGGTCATAATGCAAAATTATAGAAAAACTTGTATATCAATCATAACATGGTTTAAGTCGGAGATATTACTCGAATCTGTTGGTTCCAGAAGTAGGTTCAACAGATATACATGATTCCACTTGCCACTGCCACCTGTCACAGAACTCCAGGCTGCTAGGCACTTTGTTATCATGTGTGGAGTTGAACTCAACTGGCTATTATGAGGCATGAAAGCATATGATTTAGGCAGCACGTACAATTGTCATTATATTTTCCTGTTGTAGGGGGCACGGGTGGCCCAGTCGTCTAAGGCGTCGCGATTCGCTGTGCAGAGTTGCGTCCCTTGGGCACACCAGAATCCTATGATTGTGGGTTCGAATCTCAGTTCGCCCCGATTGTGTTTCTCGGTTTGTCAGCACCATACCCGTGCTTGTTGGTTTCACCGAAGTGGTCAACGTCAGAGACCTGCATCACCTCGGGCTTTCCTCCCACGTTATTCTGACACGCCGTGATATAACTGGAATACTGTTAAAAGCGGCGTTAACCCCAACTTCCTAGAGTTGAATAGATGTATTAAATGAACAGTGAGTATACAAAATGAAATCGGACATTTATACGAATGAAGGTTCCGCGAGGGTAATTGTACATGTAGTGACACCTGCATATACTGGCACTACAGAATCTCCGATGAGCAGACTTTTACAGGTGACTATTGACACAAACACATGCCTGATATACGACTCAAAGTTTGCTAAGGATCACCATTTTAAAAGGGAATACGTCAAATTGTGTGCATCTGCTGAAATAGCCAAAGGCAATATTGCGTGAAAACATGTCAAATGAACAATATTCCGTTGTAAAACAACGCCAACAAACAACATGTGGCCAATAATCAGTCACCCGTCAACATAAGAGTATCCTACCTGATGGACACACTTTGGCTGACACAAAACACATTTGCGACGTCACGTTGTGGTGACCCAGTTTCAGGCATCACTATGCATCTGCCGTCAAACGGGGGCATATGTCCATTCACTTGGTGCAAACCTTAGCAGCAAATGTTGCTGTGATCTCTGATAATGATGTGCAACAATGCTGTCACGATACATCCAAACACAGGTTTTCAAGTACCTCGTCCACATCATAATGGACTGCATGCCTCAGTCCGTTCATCATGAAAGTGTGTTCCGTATCATTGTGTACTTGAGTATCAATCTTTATCATCAATCCTCAGCAAACTTTGAGTAGAAAATATCTGCACTGGCGCTTGCGATATGCCACCGACTCTTCAGTGCACTGTGTCAAGAGACGGTGATAAGTTTACACAATCAGTATGTGATAACATGCACGCAATGACTAGCATGTACGCTGACACTGCCACGTAAAGAAATTCGACCAGATCTGGGGTCGTGTGGGTGAATACTTTGTTTATTTGTTCGTTTGTTTAACGCCACACTCGGCAATAGTCCAGTTATTTGACGGCGGTCTGTAAATAATCGAGTCTTGACTAGACAATTCGGTGACTACAAGCAGAAGTACCTTTCTTCCATTTCATCTGAGTGTAATGATTATCAACAGCGGTTAAAATAAAAAATTATTTCAAACCCTCTTCTGAAACATGTCTCCCAAACAAAGATCAATTTGTCCCATTTTGAAGCCATACTGATTGAAAGTCTGATTTTCACGACTATCAAAACCGGTTGTTCAGTCTTACTTCTGCATTGTTTGTTTGTTGTTTAAGGCCGTACTCATCAATATTCAAGTTATTTGACGGCAGTCTGTAAATAATTGAGTCTGGACCAAACAATCCAGGGATGGACATCATGAGCATCGATCTTCGCAATTGGGATACGATGACATACATCAACTAAGTAAGCGAGCCTGACCACCCGATCCCATTAGTCTCCGCTTACGACAAGCACAGGTTGTTAAAGACCTAGCCTAACCCGGATCTTCACGGGTCGGGTGAATACACGAGAGTTACTTTCCTCCCACAGACAGCTAACACGCCGTGATGCAACCGTGTGAGTGAGTGTGTTGGGTTTAACGCCGCTTTCAGCAATATTCCAGTTATATCACGACGTGACAGTTTAATGTGGGAGGAAATCCCGAAGTGATGCAGGTATCAGGTTTACCATATGGTGATAGGTGCCTAGGTGCCTAGGTGCCAAAACCTAGGAGCATTATTAAGGCTTCCACATAGTACGATCAATGTACATATAAAGTAATCCAACTAACACCAGTTGTTAAATACACCAAAATAATTACTAGCGTATAAATATTAGCAAATATCCTGATGCCCTTAAATATACCCCTGACATCTTATTCATCATCATGGGTGACAGAGATGCTAGAGGAAACAGGTGACCTCATAAAAGCACGTATCAAAGCGCATTGTTTTATTCATTGGGTGCGCGGATGCTATGCCCGATGTTTTAAAAGTACTGATCTAACTTCGAAATTTAACTGCATCCGCCATCTTTGTTTATTTGACACTGACTTTTGACATTGACTAATTACATTTCTTGGCGTGAATGATGTCCAAACGGCACGAAACTACTTAAAATGTAATCAAATGTTTAAAAATGCTACACACACACACACACACACACACACACACACACACACACACACACACCGAGAGTTTTCCTCTATTTTTTTTTTTTTTTTTTTGGGGGGGGGGGGGGGGGGGGGAACCTGCTCAGCCATGATAAATTATTGTTTAAACAAATAGTCTTGATTGGGGCAAAAATATACAACTCATAACAAAAATAAAATAACGGCAAATATCTACCGGTCTAGAAATAAAGTACATGTACCTTCGTTCTGCTACATGTGTTATATTACGGGTGACCAATACAGATAAGACAGTCACGTGTCCCAACACCTGTTCCACGGGGTCATAGTTACATTGATGTTTGTGAACACGATAGATTGTTTCTCATAACGATCTCATTCAGTTTAAGTGAGGACTCGGTGTTATCGGGTTACATGACATCGCATTGTGAACACATTCCAAGGCAGCTCATTGGCTGTCCAGGGTTATATTTTTTATCAACCCTCATTAAAAGACCAGGATGATTCAGATCACGTTGGGTCTCGAGCTGTGTGGCAGTCTCCTGATTAGCTGCTCGTAGGCGGACATGGACAGACATCCTTACCTGACCGTACGTAGTCTATTCTCATTCTTGTATTCTCGGTTTACGTTATAGTCCGTCAACCATCATTTTGGCACACGGCATTAAATATTTCATTGATTTCATGTAATATTGTGACCTGATCTGACCCTGTAGTGTGTGTGTGTGTGTGTGTGCGTGCGTGCGTGTGTGCGTGCGTGCGTGCGTGCGTGCGTGTGTGTGTGGCGTGTATGTGTGTGTGTGCGTGTGCGTGTGCGTGTGTGTGTGTGTGTGTGTGTGCGTGCGTGCGTGCGTGTTAACACAGACAATTTAATGTATCAAAACAATGACACAATCTAGCTTGATAAAATAAATGTATTTAATTTAAAATGAATTTTGAAATATAATTTGATTTAAACTACCTTAGTATAGGAAAAGGGGCGGTCGGGTAGCCTAGTGGTTAAATCGTTCGCTCGTCACGCCGAAGACCCGGGTTCGAATCCCGACATGGGTACAATGTGTGAAGCCCATTTTCTGGTGTCCCCCGCCGTGATATTGCTGGAATATTGCTAAAAGCGGCGTAAAACCAAACTCACTCACTCACTCACTAGTATAGGAAAACTTAATATTCTAATAGAATTGTTTATTACAACATATTCCGAGTAGCTGAAAGTCAGGACATTAAATAAGATTATCCGTCATCGGGAAAACCGTGTTAGCGAAAGGTGGAAGGACATCTCTCAATACCAACTTGTCAAAACTGGCTCCCTTTTCTTCCTTCTTGGGGGCCCAGTCGTCTAAGGCGCCGCGATTCGCTGTGCAGAGTTGCGTCCCTTGGGCACGCCAGAAACCTATGATTGTGGGTTCGATTCCTGGTTCGCCCCGATTATGTTTCTAGGTTTGTCAGCACCATACCCGTGCTCGTGGGTTTCACCGAAGTGGTAAAAGTCTGAGACCTGCATCACTTCGGGCTTTCCTCACACATTAAGCTGACACGCCGCGATATAACTGGAATACTGTTAAAAGCGGCGTAAAACCCAACCCACTCACTCAGTCACTCCTTCTTGGGAATTGGGATGACCCAAACTTGTCAAAACTGGCTGGCTTTTCTTTCTTTTTGGGATTTGAGATGGCCCTTTTGGTTCGTTATCCGCGGCATTTTGACCGCTTAAGAGGGGAGATAATTCAGAATAAATTCCTTCGAGGCATGTTAGTTGTCTGCAATGTTATCTTTGTGACACAGCGACGAGATATCAAGGGTGTTTCTCTTTATGATTCACGTTTAAAAAACACAACACACGTTACGAATAACATCACGGTATCCTTTAACAACATATAGCCCCATGTTACACAATGATTCTCGTCTATACCGATACCGTTAGTGCAACCGTGGCGTGGGGTGGCCTCGGGTAATGCATGCTGCAAGAATGTTTAACAAACATTGTGTCACAGATGTGAGAGGTTAAATCGTCTAATGTTACCCCTCACTACAAGGTCTTGTCGACAGTCACAAAATTATATGATAACAATGAAGAAAATATTTTTATTCGGACATGAAATATTACCATCCTGGTTTTTTTATTCAGGTCATTGATGATTATTCGAGATAAAAAAAACTATCGTCACGTGATTGGGTGCTCCTTGTATTCTTACACATGTACACGACCTATGTTAAACTTCCCCTCTTTAAGTAATGTCTCTTCTTGTCACCCTCGCATTCTCTGTTTTAAGATGGTACTTGTTGTTACCGTGCCTGGTGCTACGGAATAAAACAAGGACTGGTCCGCTCGAAGCCAGTATACCGTTTCTGAGTTAAGATGCGGCAAAGTATAGCAGGGGGCTGGTACTATGAAATAGGCATAAGTCCGGACAAGTACAAGCAGATACTGACACACACGCATGCGCGTCGCCATATAAGTGCAATAATCTTGAACGCGACGTTAATCCCGATTTCACCTCACTTCATCACTCCTCACCTCACCTCACCCCACCTCGCATTCTCACGCATATAAACACGACATGCCTTGTAACCACCAACCTTTATGCTTTTTCAAGATGGAACCGTTCAAGATTAAAGTAGTAGAACCTCTACCAAAGGTCACACGAGAAGAGCGGGTCAAGCATCTCACAGCAGCTCGGTTTGAGCCTTTTTGTCTCCATTCTCGTCACGTAATCATAGATCTGTGTACGGATTCGGGAGCATGCGCAATGAGCCAAGACCAATGGGCAGCCATTATGGGAGCTGACGAAAGTTACAAAAATTCAACCAGTTTTGAACGGTTTAAAAAGTCTGTCCAAACAATCACGAAGTTCCAACACGTGATACCAGTCCATCAAGGCAGAGCGGCGGAAACGCTTCTCTTCCGTTTGGTCTTAAAGGCAGGTTCCGTGGTGGCTAGTAATGGCTTGTTCTTCACAACAGAACACAATATAACACGACAAGGAGGGAAATGCATCGAGATACCTTGCAAAGAGTCACGTGGAAACAAATTCGGCGGCAACATTGACTGTGAACAACTTAACAACATTCTAGATGACGTAACCGTTGTTGTCATCACGGTGACGAACAACGAACGCGCGGGACAGCCTGTTTCCATGGGCAACTTAAAGCGCCTGCAGCAGCTATGTGGTTCAAGAAGCATACCAGTGTTCATGGATGGATGTCGGTTTGCTGAGAATGCATTCTTCATAAAGGAAAGTGAGCCAGGGTTTGAGAATAAACCAATACAGGAAATCGTCGCTGAGATGTTTTCATGTGTTGATGGTTGTTACGTCTCGGCAAAGAAGGATGGATTGGCAAATACGGGAGGTTTCTTTGCAACACATGACAAGGAACTATTTGATAAATTCGCGTATGAGATGCTGTGGTCGGAAGGATCTCCCGAGTACGGAGGTCTCGCCGGAAGGGATCTTGACGCCATTGCTGTTGGACTGCAAGAGGTCATTGACGAGGACTACTTGCGGTACAGAGTAGCAATCTCGCGAGAGTTTGGTGAGATTTTGAAGAGGGCAAACGTTCCAATTATTGAACCTGTTGGTTGTGCTGTACATGTAGATGCTGAAAAGGCTTTAACTCACATCTCCCCCAACTGTTACCCAGCGAGAGCTCTCAACTGCGCTTTATACATCGAAGGGGGCGTTAAGGGTGTACAATACAGCTACAAACAAGGAACTACTTTGGCGGAAGGGTTGCAGAAACGCGAAGTGTTGAGGCTCTCACTTCCGCGAAGGGTTTACACGCTCTCTCACCTACTGTACGTTGGTGAAGTTTTCAAGCGGGTTTTACTGAAGGCTGGTGACATCTCTGGTCTTAAACGATTTTCTGAGAAAATTAACTACTCCGGGGCTCCAATGGTGCCAATACTAGGGTCCATTTTCGCTTCAGACACTGAGAGTGTAGGTGCAGAATTGGATAAAGAGGACTAGGTGTCAATGGGTACCAATGGGTACAACGTCTGCTGATTAAGGAAAAACATAACATTCTTTAAAAGGCAACGATCAGGGCCCCGTTGCACAAAGCGATCATAACGCTAAGACTTTCGTAAGCCTATGTTAAAGTATCGGAGTAACGATCACCTTAGCGCTAAGATAGCTTTGTGCAAGGGGGCCCAGGTCTTTATACGCTCGCTATGAGGTCATTATCGTATCGCCATGCAGTCGCTGTCCGGTTCACGAACTGTACATTTTGGGGGATCTAGTCGCGAACCGAGGCTGAAATGCAGAGAACCCTGGACTCTTAAGGTCTTCCCTTACTGTGTCTTACAAAATAACATATCCTAGTATTGTATTTACTCCAAGATTGTTTTTATGACATTTAAGAATAAAAAGGTATGGAGTAATGGTGTCTGATATGTCTAGATATCCGGTCAATAAATCGTAGTTTCGGCACGGCTGTCGTTAATCGTGTTGTCTTCTTTAAGTATAGCTCAACATCAGACAGGAACAAAACAAGCAAATCAATACGAACAGCAAGTGTGTGTGCACTGAGTGAATAAAATGTGCGAATGTCGTTAAACGACACAATGAGTTATATTCCAGCTACATCATGTTAAGTGAGGGTCAGACAATCCAGTGACTGAGAGTACGATCAGCGACACACGCGATACCGTTTCTCCTATACAATGAAGACCAATAGAGTGCTTGGAGCCTAAAGTATTCTGGGTATACACGTGCATGGCCATGTTCTTGTACACTGAACCAGAGACATTTCCAGCACTGAGTTGGTCACTGTCGCTCGTGCTTTTCCTGAGAGCCGAATGATGATCAAGTGGTCAAGCCTTAAGATTAGGTTGTCGTCATCGTATCCCGATGGCGGGGATCACGTTTGAGTTGTCACTAGTGTGCCTGGTCCATGCCGTCGTGATGTTCCACTCATTCACTCACGTGGATGAGGTTCCCGGTTTTGCTGTCCAAGATGTTGGCGTTGATGCGGTCATTCTCGCTGCAGTCATCTTTGTTAACACTGGTCTGTTTACAGAAGTATAAACATGTCCAAAACTGTAGTGAATCATTTTGTTTGTTGTTTAACGCCGCCCTCACCAATATTCCAGGTATATGACGGCGGGCTGTGTAAATAATCGAGTCTGGACCAGATAATCCAGTGATTGATATCATGAGCATCCATCCACTCAATTTGGATACGATGACATGCATCAATCAAATCAGCGGGCCTGATCACCCGATCCCGTTAGTCGCCTCTTACAACAAGCATAGTCGCTTTTTGTGCCAAGCATGGGTTGCTGAAGACCTATATGCAAAATATTATCTCTTCGGTTGCGGTTGAGAAGTATGGAGGTGGAGCTGCAATGGCTGTTTTAATCATATGTTTAAAATTTGATAATGATGTTGCACTTCTGTATTCAGGGGGTTACTCATTCCATAGTTTGATTGAAGAAGGTATAAATGATTGTTGGTATGTAGCTGTTCGTGCATGCGGCAAATTCATATTGTTCTTATTTCGTAACTCATACTAAAAGTTGATACTTTGGGTGGTAACGTGTCATGTAAATACGATGAACATAGGTTATTAACAATACTGTAAATTGTAAAAAAAAGTTGTTGTTTTTTTAATTTTTCTTCTATAAGATCGTGATTCCCTGTCTCAAAATATGAACTCGATCTTGAGTAAATGTTTTAATGGAACTGTCGATAAATGCTTTCTGTTTACAGGCGAAAATAGGCATCAATATGTATGGAATCATTATAACATGCGTTAATAACGATGCGCTTTGAATTCTTGCCTTTGAGATCGCTGTTGTATTCTATGAATCCAGTATCAATATTTATCTTAAATATTTATTATTTTGCTTATGCACTTTGCACAAAGTTACGTTTTACCTTTGGTGTCTATTTTGTTACGTTATATTTTGCCCCCCATGTTCCGTTTGTTTGTATTGTGCTTGTCTGATTCTGCTGAAGTGCTTGAATAAAATCATGTCTCTCCTTGCACTTTAATTAACTTAATAAAATAGCTAACTCTCAGAAAAAGTTAACAAAAGTATTCGGTACACAAACAGACCGAGCTACACATGTGTGTGTATGTGTTTAAGCAGGGAGGCTATACAAAGATATATACATATATACGGACTATATAGACTCCCTGGTATAAGTAATCTTGTATCATCGTAACGCTTATGTACCATGTATCACTGAGAAAGAAGCCTAGCGAATTCAACTAACTTAATTAGTAACAGCGGCCAAAAGGTTAGTAGACCGCGAATTTACTACCCTACCTAGTAGATGGCACACGACAGCGGTGGAGAGAAGGGTTTCGTATTTCAGTTTCGGCGGCAAGACCACGTGACATTCCTCACTTCCGCCTTGATCAGTGTCACGATCGCCATTTTGAGGAAACAAGGAGATGACAATGGGTCAGATTGTTAGGTACATATTGGCTTGATATTATTGTTAATGTTATTTTTTCGTGACTGATAAAGTTTTGAACTTTATTATGTATACTCAGTGAGAAGGGAGGTTACTATAGTTTGCCAGTGTAAAGCAAAAATAAGTTGAATGTTATATTTACCTGTCAATTCCCTTTTGTAGTACTGTGTAACTAAACTTAAACCATGGCTTCTTTGTCTTTGAACGGGCATTAACTGACTATATTGTCAGTTAAACACCACTTGGCAATGACGGAACTTCTTTTTCCCCTGTCATACAACTTGATGACAATTCCCACGAAAACGCTGTGTCGTCTGCGGTTGGTTCGGTTGGTTGGTTTGTTGTTTAACGCCGCACTCACCAATATTCCAGCTGTATGACGGCGGTCTGTAAATAATCGAGTCTGGACCAGACAATCCAGTGATTGATATCATGAGCATCGATCCACGCAATTGGGATCGATGACATGCATCAACCAAGCCAGCGAGCCTGACCACCCGATCCCGTTAGTCGCCTTTTACGGGTAGACTGGGTTGCTGAAGACCTATTCTACCCCGGAATCTTCACGGGTCTGTCGTCTGCGGGATTCGAGCCCGTGAAGAACACACCGAAGGCGAACGAATGTCGTATTCTGCCAGGGCGACATGGAATACATTTTATGAAATGAACAACTAAATATTTAGTTTCTAACAGTTTTTCCGTTTATGAACGCTGAAATATGTGTTTGTGCAGTAAGTGTTGTGTTATTCTACGCATTGTACGAAAGTGTGATTTGGTAGTTTTTCGTTCAAAGAAACGAACAGATAGATAAAGATTCTCTTATCTCGATCAGGTATATCTTTGCTCATAATATGCCTATCAACAAGGGCAAGACATTTTTAGGTCATTGATAAATGTGCTCAAATTTGTGCTATTTAAATGGTACACTGGCCCGGAGTCGCCAAAGAGCGAGGTGCACGTGCGAACGCTCGAGGAACACCTTTCACGTGCATCACGCAGGGCCGACTCACACAGTGTCCTCACTGTTAAGCATAGCGTTCTTGAATATGCTTTTAAATACGGTTATAAAAAATGTTGTTTGAATATTTCAGGTGCTAGAGTTCTTTGAATGAATGTTAACAATGTTCTAAATAGGTATCTGTTCGGCGCTCCGTCTTACGTCTAACCGACCATATCAACGATTAAACATCGGATCCAAGCGGTCTAAACCTTAAATGCTACTGCAAATCATTACATGTTGTTTTTTACCAATATTGTTTGTCATTTGTTATTTACTTGGGGTTTTTACAAATTGTGTTCAGCAGCTGTCAACAGGGGGCGTAAAATGAACAAGAAACGAGTATTATTTTTAGTGTAGTAAAACTTACTACAAGCTTAGTTTGTTTGTTTGTTTGTTTGTTGTTTAACGCCGCACTCCGCAATATTCAAGCTGTATGCCAGCGGTCTGTAAATAATCGAGTCTGGACCAGACAATCCAGTGATTGTTATCATGAGCATCGATTCAGGCAATTAGGATACGATGACATGCATCAACCAAGTCAGCGAGCCTGACCACCCGAACAAGCTCAGTAAATATACCATTGCAGTGAGTAAATTATAAGAAGATTCTTTGAAAGATGGATAGTAATCTCTACTAACTGATTAGTAAATGTGTACTAGTCTCAATAGCATACTAACTGATTAGTAAAATTTGCTAACATGTTAGTATCTGACTGGATGGGGAAATTCACTAAGTAAGTATGTCAACTTTCTGTTTCTGTCTGTGATGGCTTTTAACCAGTCAAATGAATTGAAATATTCCCCAAATCAGCAATTAATATCAGGTAACCCCCATTGAAAACTCATGGAACCTCTTAAATATGTACATTTGAGTGTCTATTGACTTGGCTGCCAAGTGTACTGATGTCTGTAAATATCTTGTCATCACTGAGTAGCATGTTCTTAAAGAAACACGTGTTGATGAGTGAGTGAGTGTGGTTTTACACCGCTTTTAGCACTATTCCAGCAATATCATGGCGGGGGACACCAGAAAACATGTTGAATCATATGTTAATGAGGAAACGCGTTGAAGAAGAATCGTCACGTTGATCAAGATACACATCACGCAACAACTATGGACTATGCCGACATTATTTTCTTGTGAAACAAAACTGTACAAATATAAGGTGTTCAAAGAACGACAAAATATCTAACATATGAGATCAAAAGTCCCACTGAAGAGGTGGAAAGTTGTTTGTTTAATTATTGCTTAATTCAGCAATATTCTAGCCATGTGATAAAAGTCCTACGGAGGAGATAAAGACATATTTACATGTGGCACTAGGACGCTGCTACGCGCCAGTTATTCGTGAAACGGCTGGGGTCTTGGGCGATTGTAAATTTGGACAGTGAGTGAGTGAGTATAGTTTTACGCCGCGTTTTACCCGAAATGGACTTCACACATTGTACCCATGTCGGGAATCGAACCCGGGTTTTCAGCGTGACGAGCGAACGCTTTAACCACTTGGCTACCCGACTGCTCCAATTTGGACAATGAGTACTCGAATGGGAAATACATCTTTCTATAGTTTAGTTGAACGTGGAATGTGTTGTACACATCGATTCAATGTACATACCAACTTTAAAATATATTTTCAAGACGCCTTTACTTCCATGATTTCAAGAAAACATTTCGCTGCAACAGTGAGAGGACGGATGCTGTATGAACGAATATATTTTATGTACGCATCAGTGACTATTGAAGAGTCAGTAAGTTTTCACGCCACCTTCAGCAACGATCAGCATTATCATGACAGGGGTCACCAACATGGGAGTCGCCCCTCATATCCATGCGAGGAATCGAACCCGGTCCTCCGGAGTGACGAGCAAGCGCCTTAACCAGTGGGCTTCCAATAGTCCTCAGTTATGTGTGGCAGTATATGTTTTTCATAATTATATCTATTGTTTTTGTCGGTAGTGAGCGGTAGACTTATAGGACATCAATTTTAACATATATTATGTATTGTTTTCATATAAATGGTGTGATGTGCGAAGCTTTAATATTGGTGTCACTCCCTCACTCGAAAAAGTTGGTCCAACTCCTAAGCTGTTGAATATTGTGTGAAAAAACCCACGATGCATGAAAATGAGACAAACGTTGAAATGGTGCATAATACTGTTGGGTAATGAGTGAGTAAGTTGGGTTTAACGCCGCTTTTAACAGTATTCCAGTTATATCACGGCGTGTCTGTTTAATGTGGGAGGAAAGCCCGTGGTGATGCAGGTCTCAGACGTTTACCACTTCGGTGAAACCCACGAGCACGGGGATGGTGCTGACAAACCTAGAAACATAATCGGGGCAAACCGGGATCCGAACCCACAAACATAGGTTTCTGGCGTGCCCAAGGGACGCAACTCTGCACAGCGATTTGCGGCGCCTCAGACGACTGGGCCACCCGTGCCCCCCTGTTGGGTTATTTATCCAATTTACTTCCCTTTCCTTTACCACTGATTTATACGGACTTTTAATATGAAGTTCGAGTATTATTTACCTCCTGAACAGTAAAGTGTAGTTCAAAATGAAGAGTCTGTTTCGATATTTTGCAGTGCTTTGGTATAACAATATGGAGGCCTGCGGCTTGATCTTATGACCACGTTACCATGTTCTTGGACAACATTCCCAGGAGATTTTATTACGCTTCACGTGGTTTTGTAAGGATAATGCACAAATGTAGTGCGAGGCGTGATCTCCCATGAGAAAATACATTCGTCGAGACAAAGTTTGTTTGCCAATTAAATAACCAAACCTGATACAAGTTGTTTTTTTCATTTTGAGTGAGTGAGTGAGTTGGGTTTAACACCGCTTTTAACAGTATTCCAGTGCGGCGTATCAGCTTAATGTGTCAGGAAAGCCCGAAGTAATGCAGGTCTCAGAAGTTTACCACTTCGGTGAAACCCACGAGCACGGGTATGGTGCTGACAAACCTAGAAACATAATCGGGGCAAACCCACAATCATAGGTTTCTGGCATGCCCAAGGGACGCAACTCTGCACAGCAAATCGCGGCACCTTAGACGACTGGGCCACCCGTGACCCTTCATATTGAGTGATTGAGTTTGTTCAACAAACAACTGTTTCAGTTAACCGATCCCGTTCGTCACCTTTTACAACAAGCATAGTCACCGTATGCTTGTCATAAAAGGCGACTCATGGGATCGGGTGGTCATGCTCGCTGACTTGGTTGAAGCATGTCATCGATCTTGATTGCATGGATCGATGTCCATGATATCAATCACTGGATTGTCTGGTCCAGACTCGATTATTTACATACCGCAGTCATATAGCTGGAATATTGCTGAGTGCGGCGTTAAACAAGAAACAAACAAACCCAACCAAACCAGTTACACAACATGTCAGCTTGATGTGGGAAAAGCCCAAAGTGGTGCAGGTCTTGGATGTGTACAGCTTTGGTGAAACCCACGACCACAGCTTTGTGCCCACAAAACTGGGAACATAATCAGGGCGAATCTGAGAACAGGTTTCTGGCACGCCTACGGACAATCTCATTAAAATCAAATCCTAGTTCTCCCTATCGCTGAACAAAGTCTGTTTAGCCGCAGCGAGAACTCAGATCTGATATTAATGAGATTGGCCTACGGAATGCAACTATTCAGCACTTTGATAAAGGTCTGATAACTTTGACAGATCTCGACATTGCCCTTCTACACAAACATTGTTGCAGTAAGATACTTGGTTTGATCGTCACGTGATACACGGGATGATAGGGTACATGTTTGTACTCTTCAATCTCATAAAAAATTATGTTAATAATTGTTTCCAAGGGGGGCACTTTGCAAAGCCTTAAATTTGGGTTCCAATACATAAAATAATGTAGATATTCATATCATTGTGTCGCAAGCGCTACAACCCTATTACTCCGAACACACAACACAAAACGTGAATTCACCCAGACAGTTTATTATCTGTATTTACAATTTTTCTTGCTTGTATTTTAATCCCTCTTTGCCCGTCCAGCCTTCTTGACAACAATAGGCTTCTGGCTCCGGATGATGGCGCTGGCCCGCCGCACTGCAGCCTGCAACACAAAACAACACTCACGTTGTGCTGGCATGTTTGTGTTCCATTCTAAAAACAAACACTCAAACGTGCGTGACTGTCAAACGGCTTTTCAACAGTACATCCTGAATGAGACAATGGAATATCATTATTTGTTTACTGTTTCCAAAGATGATAGTGAGTGAGTGAGTTTGGTTTTATGCGCTTTTAACAGAATTCCAGTTATTTCACTGTGAGTCTGCTTAATGTTGGTGGAAAACCCGAAAGTGATGCAGGTCTCAGACGTTTACCACTTCAGTGAAACCCACGAGCACGGGTATGGTGCTGACAAACCTAGAAACATAATTGGGGCAAACCGGGATTCGAACCCACAATCATAGGTTTCTGACGTGCCCAAGGGATGCAACTCTGCACAGCGAATCGCGGCGCCTTAGACGACTGGGCCTGGCGTGACCCCCCAAAGATGATAAGTAACTTGAGAGTGAGAGAATGAATTCACCTGGCATGTGATAACACTGAAATATTTTCCTTTTTGGTGTTCAATACAATCCATCCCTCTCCTTCAATCAGAATACCTTACATGGTCATATATTCATAATTGACATATACTTTCACAAGGCCACAGAAATCATCTGCTACAGTCCCTTTCTACCTATTGGTAAAGTGGTAAAGTGGTTTTGTCCACAAGGAAATGTCACCAGCCGTTGAATTTTACTAGTGTCAGACTTTTTGCACCCTCCCTTAGAATACGACAAACCAATCAGAATGCGCGTATGATTTCAAGTTCTTCGTCAAAGAATCCCTCAGAAATAATTTTTGATTTTACATGTCTTTCATCTAAAAATATACCAAAGACACAGTTAAATGTGTGCAATCAAACTGTATGCTTTAAATTGCATCTGAAATATATATAATATATGGGGAAAATGTGTGAACCATTACGCAACGAGTTGACAATTGTTTTAGTTATGCCTGTTTGCGCTAAGACGCAACCCGGTTGCAAAAATGTCCCGGAATACCACGAGTTGGTCACGAAGGCCATAAACGCCTGTAATCAAGTGTGACCAGCGGTAACTGCATGAACAATAAGGCACGACATCAAGGTTATAATCAAGGTGGTCACACATTGAAGCCACAGTTGGGTCTTACAATGACCCTGTGGGGATTCCAGGTTACAATATGTCCCCAGCAATCTGTGCTCGTTGTAAGAGACGAAATGGATTGGATGGTCTGACTCAGTGACTTGGATAGTTCGTGTCTTCGTACCCTGATGGTGTTGATCATATCATCAATCATTGGATTATCTAGTCAAGAATCAGTTAGTTACAGGCTGCCATCATATACGTGCAAACTTGCCGAGGATGACGCTCAACCCCCTATCCTCACCACATGAAACAGTCTTACAAGCATGGGGGCATGGGACCTATTCTGAGCTAGACCCAGCCTTAATAATCTTAATTTTGAACTTCAAACAATAACATGTCATTTCACCAACAAATATTGTATTGCCATCTTACTAACGAAACTACAGTCGTGGTTTGCAAAAACGCCCTTCATTACTTTACTTTGCTCACGAACACACATTTATATTACTGGAAATAGCATATCAACAAATCGGTAATAAATGACAACATTCAGAATGTCTGAGTTTGTTAGTAGATCTACAGAATATTAGTTCATTGGCAGATTGCGCCAACTCACCGTTATTTACAGCAACCACGATCAGATTACCTCTATTACCTTGAAATAACCCATAGTTGCCAGAGAATAAATACTTTTATCAATTCATAAATATCATACTTTGACTTGTTAAAGTCATATTTGTTTCAGTTTTCACTATGTCAAAATAATGTTTTCACGATCAAAATCACGAACCCCCAGGAAACCTCAATGGTGACTTGTATTGATTATCCTGCAATATCAGCTTGAATATCGTTGTGACGAACTCGTGTCATCTTGCAGGTTACGGAAAGGGGCAAGTCGTGACAGGTGACAAAAATACATGACCTACATTCCATATAAGGGAAAGAGCTGAGCACACATGATGTAACCATTTCAAATCAACATAATTGGAAGATTTCGGGAAGTATAAAAGACACCAACAATCTTGTATGAATGAGTACTGAAGGGCAAACAAAGACTATGGCAAAAGGGCATTACATTTGTCGTGACAATGAAATTGAACTGTGATGTGTCAGTCAACGCAAACCTTGCGACACAGGATCCCCCAGTGTCCATTTGCTATTTCTATTGTGCTCCATGTGAGAGTGAGTGAGTGAGTATGGTTTTACGCCGCTTTTAGCAATATTCCAGCAACATCACGGCGGGCAACACCAGAAATCGGCTTCACACATTGTACCCATGTCGGGAATCGAACCCGGAGCTTCAGCGTGACGAGCGAACGCTTTAACCACAAGGCCACCCGACCGCCCCTTTCCATGTGAGAACAACAAAGACCCCAGGTATGGGTCTGACAAGCCCAGAAACAATCAGGGCACACTTGGTTTTGGAACCCAGAAAGACAGGTTTCAGACACACACAACCCCCCCCCCCCCCCCCCCCCACGAAACACCTCATGCCACCCTTAACCCTCACTAGCCATGAGGTATACTTATAATAACAGAGTCCACTTTAGTTACCATCTTCAAGTCTTTCCTGTACTTGTTTCGTCGGATGGTTTTCCTGACGGTAGCAAATGTCCGGCGAGGATCTCGCTTCATCTCAACGCGAGTGAAAGCTTTGTTGGGTTTGCGGGTGCCTGGAAGTGAAAAAAACAGTTGTGAGGATTGGTTGGCTTGTTGTTTTATGCCACACTCAGCAATATGCCAGCTATATGACAGCAGTCTGTAAATATTTGAGTCTGGACCAGACAATCCAGTGATTGATGTCATGAGCATTGATCCTTGCAATTGGGATCGATGACATGCTTCAACCAAGTCAGCGAGTCTGACCACCCGATCTCGTTAACTGCCTCTTGAGACAAGAAGTCGCCTTTCACAGCAAACATGGGTTGCTGAAGACCTGTTCTACCCTGGATCTTCACGGTAGTGGTACAAACTAGTATGTAACCAAATACCACATTGTACCCATGTCGGGAATCGAACCCGGGTCTTCGGCGTGACGAGCGGATGCTTTAACCATTAGGCTACCCGACCGCCCCAACCTGGGAAAGGGCCTCCCTACATAAATGTATTCCTTGTTGAGTAAAATACTGGAATACAGTACTGGACTACCGTTGGACTACCAGTGTGTGCATAATGCACGAATACAATGAGCTTTTTTATTTCACAACGCGAAGACGTTAGCATAAGCACACAACACCGGAAGTAGCATGTCAACAAATCTCTACTGAAGTATGCAAGTTAGTCCTGTTATTACATTGTCTGGCCATAAAAGCTTTCATAGGGTATCTGGACTTCCATTTGTACTCCATTATAGTACTTTTATCCAAGATTTCATTCAATTTTGTTTACATTAATTTTGATCATGTATGAACAGATCAGCAAATCACATTGTCTCACTTTGAACTCGCCTTGAAACGAACATTAGTCGCTAGAGATACAAAGCCTTTGGTCGTCCTATAACTGTATTAAAATGGTTTTTTTCAGTTATGATATTGGCCATGACATTAAGTTGTTTTTTTTAACTAAATCACCCACAGACTGGGGAGAAAATGTGTGAACAGCTGATTGCTATTTCTGGCTTATTTTACAAGACAAATACACATGTAATCCTAATCTCTGCGTATGAAACATTGTCCAGCATACAGTACACAAATACCACTGAATTTGCAAATCGTCTTGTCCAGTGTTTTTTTATTGTAAATTTCATGTTTTCATTGACCTAATTTGCAAATGGAAAAACAAGCGATGCAGTGTGCATGTAAAGGGAAGTAACTGCATGCTCTATTAGATCCATTGTTTTTAAGTATTCTAGCATTTCACTGCAAGAGTTGTGTGTTCGGAAAATTTAAGGAATTTGTAAAATTGAAAATAGAAACATAAGTGAACTGTGCAGTGGATTTTACGATGATGCAGGCGGTATCTGAGAACCAAGACTATTACTGTTTTAGCCTTACTGCAAATCACGACTACATTTCATCATGTTAATGTACCTGGTTTTCAGCTTTCGAATTTATGAACTTATGAAAACATCAGGTTGCTTAATCTTTTGAAATAGACCAATCGCAGTAGTATCTACAATCGATAAATTCTCACTACCAAGTTAGCAATACAAATGGTAACAATAGCAGTAATTGTTTTGAGCTCATTCAGTAATTGTTTTGTAATCATTCAGTACATGCTGTAGAGGGTTGTGGTTGGTCCTGAAGAAATTACGGTTGAATCACTTTAAACAATCTTCACACTAAAGTACTAGAATAACATCAGATCTAGATTTTCCTTCTCTATAATGTATTTTCTTCGCCCATGTCAAGTTTGAGTGAGACAAATGGATGCCCTATAAGATGCAGACCGAACACATTGCATCACTGACCCGTTGCATTTCTGGTGACCATGACAATGCCCTTTCCGTCTTTTGCTGGCTCCACGCCAACAGTTTTCCTGCGGATCAGACCATTGTAGCGGAAAGAGTTGATGTTCTTCAAATTGTTTCTTTCCTGCAATCAATACACACAAACACGCATGTAGTACATATTTGTTTGTTGTGTAATGCCGCACTCAGCAACATTCCAGCTGAGGAATATTCCAGCTACATGCAGAGATGCCAACCATTACAATTTGGAGCCTAAAATTACGATATGACACTTGACCTTTTTTGACAATGTATTTACATGCTTATAATATCACTGAGACCAAATTGTTTATAAACCAGCGACATGAAGCATTCTCCAGCAAACCAATGACAGCCATGCTTTCAATTCACACAGCGTTAAAATATCAATTACTCAGTGATGTCGGGTCTCTGAATGATTGTTATGCTTAAACACACTCAAGTCATTTTATTGATCGATCTTTGCAGGTTTGAGAGCAACTGTACCGTGCTGACGGTGAGGCCGGGTCTCTTCAACAAGAAGGAGGAGTTATTCCTGATGATCATCCACTGCAGGTCGGCCGACATTGTGACACGTGGTGACGACGATCTGTCAGCTGAAACAGGAAAACTATGAAAATAACTCTCAACAACCTTGTTTACTGCAAGAAATCAGAGCAATCAGGGATATAGAGAATCTCTCCCGAGTGTCTTTCAATTTCAAATTTATCATCACGAGTGGATAAAATTGGAAAAACTCCGAGGCTTGCCGGGGAGTTTTTTCCACTTTTATCATCAAGTGTTGATATATTTAATATCAAAAGATTTTATTTATCATCCAACATTATTCTTCCACCTTTTTCAGTTTGTAGACAGTCATAAGTAGTGTCTTAAGTGTAAAAAGTACTGCTTACAGCTTTTGTAGCAGAGCCATTTGTGATGTCATTTGATTGTGACGTCATGGTAGCCAATGACGTGGTTAACAACCATGTGGTTAACCAGTGGTTAACAACCAGAGCATCGATCTAGGCACTTGGGATATTGATGACATGCATCAACCAAGTCGGCAAGTCTGACCACCCGATCCAGTTAGATGCCTCTCACAACAACCAATGCTGACCTGGATCTTCAAGGGGCCTTTGACTACCGTATTTTCTTGAGTATAGTGCGCACCCATGTATAATGCGCACCCCCCTCTAGCGGGTTCAATATTTTGGAAAAAAAGAAATTTGAATATTATGCGCAAAAATCTTTTACACCGTACCCTTTCAGCGAAGTCCGGCAAACGAACGGGTGCTGAGAAACTTCGTCAGTACAAATTCAAATTTGAGATAAAAAATCACCAGACATGTTTATTTATCGTTTAAATAGTATTTATTGTTCTGCTAGGCATTGTTTTATATTTAGGGATTAAGATTACCTTGCGTATTTTCTCGTAAACTAAGCTGGAAACAGCAATCAGCTGTACACACGTTTTCTTGGAATCGACCGGTGATTCGGTCAAGACACACCCAATGATATAACTTTATAAGATTTTTAATGGAAGGATCAGCGACAATTGTATCTGAAACTATTTTATTTATCAGGAATAATATATTCCATTATTTTCTTAATTATATGCAACCTTTACTAAACATATTTAAAATAATAATAACCCTAAGCGAAGCAGCTGATCGCTATTCCCGGGTATTATTTTTTACAAGGAACATGTCTGACCAGTCACCGTCAAGGCTCACGCGCACGTGATCACGTGATCGCGTGAACTTCATGTTGACATAGAATCGTCAAACAAAAACAAATATGACTTTTAACGAGTCAAAGTATGGCATTTATGATATATGTATCGATTCTCTGTCAACTAAAGTTTGTTTCAAGGCGTCAATAGCGGTATTCTGACCGTGGTTGCTGTTAATAACGGTGAGTTGTGCGATCTTCCGATCGCTTCACACACGATTTCGCCGAAATTAATAAAAACAATATTATAAGGAATTTTGAATAAAATCAATGAAATAAGTTACAAACATAAGTCCAGATATACAAAGAACACTTTTTATAGCCAGACAGTGTAATTACATGATTATTTTGCGTACTTCAGTATGGATTTGTTGACATGGTATTCCCGGTGTTTCATGCTCACGGTAATGTCTTTCCATGGGGGAAAAAAACATCAAAACTCATAATTCGTGTATAATGCGCACCCCCTTCCACACAGCTGTGTTTTTTGGAAAAAAAGTGCGCACTATACTCAAGAAAATACGGTATTAACTGAGGGTGTTGTGTTGGTGCAGCTAGACCTTGCAAGAAAAGGCCAAAGCTGCTGAAACTTCTCTATAATTGGATGGAGGTAAGTCCTAAATACAACATGACAACACAGGTACAGTTGTCAAATATCACATCCTTTTCATACATTAACAGGTATGTTGAGAAGGATGGCTAAAAAGTCTAAGAAGCTGCGAGTTAGGGAGTTTGTTGCAGTTGGGGGCTTCATTATCATGATCATAAAAGACTATTTATTTTTTCTTTCTCGTAAACACAATACTTGTGCATAACAATTATTACTAGGCTGTTCAAGACATCCAAGCGACATTAAGTTACAATCTTTCCAACCTTAAATACATTTTATTCGACGTGTATACACGCATCCTTACAAAATAATTGATCACCAAACCACCAGTCATCAGAAACATGACTGACATGGAAAGTGTTTGTCGCTGACGAGGATTCATCTTAAAACAATTACAATGTGCAGTACTTGTAAATGAACTTCTATTCATAAGCCCTTCTAAATAATGTGCCCGTGATTTAAATCATGACTTTATAGTATACAAATATTCTGTCTTGGTCGCGGATACACCAATGCTTCTAAACAATTTGCTAACAGTCTCCCTCAATAAAATTTGTTCTGTCTTCACTGGGGATTTCGTTCGCCTAATATTAGGGTGTGTGCTGAACCCGATGTCATGTACATCTACATGTGTGCCCTTCAGTTACATTGGCTGCAATCCCTTCACCCTGTCAACAAATCTGTTAAACTGTCCGCAGTACGAACTAAGCATTCAGAAATTGGAGAGAAGGGAAGCACATGGCATGTGCGTGATGCTAGAAAGAGATTATTTTGTGATCTGGCCATTCTACACTCATAATTATGGGTAAACGTGATATCTAATACCATCACTTTGACACCTCCATATCAAACCATCATAATTTTCATAATTAGTGCATTTATTCACAGTTTTCTGCGACAACAATTGCAAAAGCACTGTACCTCAACGTGAGAATTGAAAAAGAGGCTGACCGGAAGTAACGGAACTATAATATTTATCCGCGAGCACAAGGAAAGTAGTTTCTATACAACTATTTAACACAGAGACCTGATGACACGAACTCGTGTGGTTTCGATAAAGTCAATAATTTCGTGTTTATTTTGTCCTCGCCACTTAAAATTGATTCACGAAATATTGCGATGATTAATTAACGAAGATAGATGCATGTGTGCTAATACAAGCCATTCGAACCATAATAAATATTACTTTTTATCCATTTTGTTAGCGATAAACATCATCATTGAGTTTTGTTTGCGTGGTTACAATCCGGCTGAAGATCGTCCCTTGTCTCTTGCCTCAGTTTTCATCTTGACAAATACTTGCATTGTTTAATTAAGAGGATAAGGGTTAATTGAATTTTGCATAATTAATTACTTTGTTTATGCACCATAATCAGTTTGTTTGGATGAGGTATTAGTTGCCTCTACTACGATGCGCATTAAGAAGTTAATTGAAGCTGAACAGTTTTGACAGACCATATCTAAAAATAATATATCAGTCCGTAATAGCCTATAAAAATATAACAACTTATCTGAGGCCATATTTGTGTAGCAGAATATGTGTGTGCATCGATAAATGATGTCAAAAACACGGCTACGGGTGTGATTCGTTTTATTAGATGACGAGTGGTATACCTTTCTTTCACACCCTGAAATGCATAATAACACTCAATAAGAATCTTGTAAATTATGACAATTAAAATGAGAACATGCTACATCATTAGGATTACCTTATACATATATAGAGGATATGTATACGTCCGAACATGATACATCATTAGAATTACATTATACATACATATAGTATATGCATACATCAAATCAAAATACTTCTTATTGGTGTAAAACGTGATCAATAGATAAACATAATAATAATAATAATAATATATATTTACATGTGGTGATAAGTAAACATACCAGAAGTATGGCCTCTAGTTGTAGGTTACACTTTAGCCTGTCACGACTACATGGTCAGGGCTACAGTGACATCAAAGTACCTATAAATATGGAAGTTATTCTAAATGTACAATAAAACTAGCTTCTTTACACAATGCTCTTGCGCGTGTGGACATTATTATCAAATCAGTGCTATTGTTTATACATATTTACAGATCTGAACACAGCACTACCATAAAACACAATAAATTACTAAACATCCTAAAACTATCATAAATGTCCACACACTTACAATACATTTAACACATATATGATAGCCTCATAACATAGTCAAAAAACACTCTGTCCAGGAGAATCAGACATTGACTAAATCTCACACACATCATAACAAATACTTTATTTAACGTACACCTATTTATATAATCATATTTATGAAAAGATAGATTTATATATGTTTACGTATTAAATTGGAAACATACCTTGACTTTACAAAATCTGTAAAATGTGCCTACTTGCTGTCGCCTGTCAGTGACTTGTCTGTGTAGTGACTGAGGTGCAAGTGAGGGTTAAAAAGCATGCAAAGCTGACCCTAAGGAAAACAATAGGGTCAACCACTCAACCAGAACATTTGCCCTGGATGACACAAAGGAGCTGATAGGGTAGTGACTGACCCAAGCATAACTAAGTTAAAAGGTGTTGTATCAAATCTTCATTAAAATCCCTAAAACCCATACTGCAAACTAATACTAAATACTAATACTAAATACTAATATTAAATACTAATATTAATAATAATACTAATGCTAATACTAACTACAGTATGTATTATTTACACTATATACTAATACTGACACAAATAACTAATGCTAATATTAATACTAATACTAACTACACTATGTATTATATACACTATATACTACTGGTATATTACTGGTTAGTTGACAGTTAAACAAAACCTGTAACTGCCACATTTGCATTGGGCCATTTTCTCTATATCCCGTTTTTGAAACGCAAATTATTGATATCATAAACTAATTGATGACTTAAGGGAATCGAGATTAAATAGAATATCGGCGCGGTATAATCTTTGCTATCAAATCACCTATTCACGGTCTTCATGTGAGGCTTTAAACAATGTTATTGGTAGTATAAATAGTTATGTGGTATATAGTATATGAAGAAGTACATTTTGCTGCGGGGCCATATCCGGCTGCGAGGTGCCGGAAATTATTTTAATTTGACAACAAGAAGGTGTTTGACAGATAGATGGTGCAAATGTTGCTCCTTTTCAGGGATGTTGATGTCATATATGGTCGGAATTGACTTTCTGTGCATACATCTACCCCATGTCAAAAGCAACCATGCCATCGAAGCATGACATTCTTTCTGAACATCTCTATACGAAAGTTGAAGAGCTAAAACCAAAATATTCCACTGCACAAATTACCGGGATGCTGTTGGATGGGAACGACGAGAACGTGATGAGAATGTTGGAAGATCCTTCATATCTGAAGAATTATGTGACAAAAGCAGTGCAGATATTGGAAAATCAAAATTTTACATCTAACAGTTATAGGTACAACATTAATATTTATATGGTGTTCGCATTGACACTTGGTTGGTGGCGTGTCATCGTAGCCTGCAACCTCGGGGTATCGCGGTACTTGTCATGTACGCTAAACGGAACAAAATGCACTCACTAACCTTTATGATTATTCGTGTTCTCTAGATCAGGTGTATTTTATTTTATCTAACAATGCATATTTCACTGATAAAAGTTCATTATTTACATTAGTGGCTCCGAGTAAAAGCCGGGCCTCGCGCTCAGTTTGACAAGGGAGAGAACTCCATCGTATCGCGATACAGAGAAAAGTTGTGTATGGAGGTCCGAATTGGACAAAAAGAGGACATAATTCTACCAACCACTTGGTATGATCATGCCAGACATCAGTGATTTGTCAAGACAAGTGCAAATACAGCACAAGTAAAATTCTAAATGTGTTATCAGTAATAGGTATTCAATGCATATTTACCGAAAAGTAAGAGAAGAATATTTTAAAAATCAACAGCAAAATATAAGAAATGATATTCTAAGATTTAAAAAAATAAAATTGGATGACAATAATTTGTCATAAAATGGAAAAATGTTAAAAGTCAACAATAAATAAATAAAAAGCACTACTAGTACATGTATATCCAAAGTATGTATGTATCTTTTGGCTTCTAGTGAAGAACGTATTTCTAAGTTTGGCATTATGGCCCGTATGATCTCCCAATAGATTCTCGGCACAGAGCGGGAAAAATTGTGCGGACTACGTAACTTCCGTTACCTTATTAGTCGCCATGAATATGCAGATGATCTAGTTCAGGTCGATAGAGAAAGTTTACTTGGGGAACTGCGGGTTATATCGTTGGCCATTGATAGATGGGGTTAAGGCAATATTAAAAAATATGCCAGAAGTAAGTATCAACACATTAATAACTCCTTACTTAAAGCAGACGGAACATTCCGAGGAAATTGAAATTGTTTACAAAGTGAGCACTTCCTGGTTACTGATTTGCATTAATAGACAGCCGCTAGGAGGCGTGTCCTGCGTGAACTACCGAAAATCACAAATGCCGCGATACGATGAATGCCGCGGTACCATGGGGTCCGAGTATACCTCAACGGGGGGATAGGGTGGTCACGCTCGCTGACTTGCATGTAATTGTAAACCAATTGTGTAGATTGATGCTCAGGATGTCACTCACTGGATTATCTGGTCCATACTTAATTATTTACAGCATTAAACCACGAACAAACAAACAAAACGTACTTGACAGCATCTATCATGTACACAATATCAATCACAGTATTGTCTGATCCAGACATTCTTATTTACACTCTGCCATCATATACTATAGCAGGAATACTGCTGACTGCAGCGTTAAACAACAAAAAATGAAAGCTGATTAAACGACAAAGTAAAATAAAAACAAACTGTTTCCGAATCATCCTTATGAGATGAGTAATTTGGATGATGGTGTTGTGGTCCTTGTTGAGCACTGAGAATGACTAAAGTTTTACATGTTTCAGTAAAGTTTTAAATGTTTCAGTGCATCGCGAGACGTGAGGAAGCCAGCAGCGGAGTCCTGCCCAGAACTCTGTGATGCCCTGTATGATAAAATAGCTGTTCTTGAACCATCAATGCCATCACAGTTAACAGGTGTAGTAGTGTTCTCGAGGATTTTGTACATATACATTATAGAATCATGTGTAGTATTTACTTCTGTTTCCTGTTCTGTACCTTTGACACTCTGGAAGGCAGTGCAAGAGAAGTGACACCAAGCAGAGGACCTGGGAGCCAGTCTAAACAGTAATCTCTATCATAAATGAGTAGGTTTTATACTGCATTGAGATATCTTAATTCTACATCACAAATGATGGAGATCTGGAACAGAACGAAAATCGGAACTAAATCCTACACATGATTGTATATCTACTCAGGTATGTTCTACAAGGTTTATGATTGTTTTGTTTTAATGGATGTTAGTGTGTCACCGGTATTAACATACACCTGTATGCCGCAGCTGAAAACATTTTAGAGGGTAACTTGATACCAATCAGTTGTGTTTTTCTGATCCAGACTTGTTTTTCAAGTCACCTTCATAAAGGTAGATTATTGCTGAGTACAAGAAACATACAAGACCATGTCTTGAAAAGTATTTATCATACAGATATCGCCTTAGTTTTAGCCAATAAGATGTTTCATCTTATTATATAATATACTTCATCCTATTATATAAGATGCTACAGGATGAATTGCAAAGAACAGTGAAAAACAAGGCTATGGTATATTTCACGATAAAACATTGTTCTATTACAGAGCTCCAGATAAGCTGCGTATCTGCGTGAAATACGCATCAGAAATGCAGAAATACACAGTAAAATATAATCTAAGCGTATCAAATACGCAACGAACATTACAGATATGCTACAAAAATCAAACTTGTGCGTATCATCAAAATATTGTGAAGTAACCCTGCGTATACGATTAGCAAATCAGCAACTTATTTTGAAATTATAAACGGGCATTTGTCAACCTTGCCAAACTCCACAATGACAGTTACATCATGATCATTTGCCATCACACTTTCTTGTGGAAGTATCTGGGTATTTTTTAGTCCTATAAAGCTCTCCAACCCACACGACACCAGTTTGTAGGGACTAGATGAATAGTGTTTTTAAATATTTAACTTAAATACCCACATGTGTAAAAACTAGTGGGTAACAGAAATTTGAATACGCAGATAGAATTACTGATACCCAATGATTTTAAAATGTATGGGTAAAATAGCCACAACACCAAAAGCTTATCTGGAGCTCTGTATTATGACGTGATTCTGAAGATTCGAACATACCCTTGAAACACGATGTCTTGAATTGGACCACACTATGTTAGAGTAGTGAGTTGCTCCCCTTAGCTGTAGCTGGGCAATGCAGATAAATGCAATGGCCGAAACAATCACATGAAAAAGTGGGCAAGATATGGCAATCTGTAATGGGAGGAAAGGTACAGATGGTGGCTGTGAGAGTTGGGAGAATATTCAGGAAATACCAAACTGACAGCCCCATCCTTCCCCATTTTAAACAATGGACTTGTCTTACATTGCCGAGATCAGATTGTATTCAGGGCATCATTATTTACAGATGGGTTCTTGTTTTTGAAGCTTGTAAATTTAATAACATCCTTAAAGAGGCTGTAAATGATGTTGTTATCTCTTATAAGATATCAACGTGAGAGGGAGTTGTTTATCAAACAATAAAACACTGCAGGGAGAATAGGCCACTCGTGTCCTGAGTGGTTTATTCTCCCTGCAGTGTTTTATTGTACAATAAACAACTCTTTCTTGTCATTTATTTCTAAAGTATATATGATCTCTGTCATCTTATGTTACAAATGTAGTAGATGTGCATTTACCCAAATTGATATTAAGTCATGGTTGGTGAAAGATTTAAAGGGCTCATGAAATGTAAAAGGCCAGTTGAGTCTCATAAAAGATCTTTTTGGTGACAGCTGATTTTCTTCCATTCATGCATGTAGTAATTTTCTGTTCAATGCACAATGTATTCAGGGTTCATTTTAACACATGCACATGCCCCAATCTCCCAATTTATGCTTGTTTGTTCTCAAGGGATAACATGAAACTCACTCTCAGGGCATGCCATGAGTAGAGTTGGTCTCCAGCCTCTAAAGATTGTCCCATGGCAACTTTGGCTCACTGACTGAAAGCACATCACTGTACCCCAACTGTGTGGGACCGCCTCCGTGGTCTAGTGGTAGAGCGTCCGCCCGGAGAGCGGAAGGTCCGGGGTTCAATCCCCGACCGCGTCATATCAAAAGACGTTAAAAGATGGTACTTGTTGATACCCTGTCTGGTGCTCGGCATTAAGGGGATAAAACAAGGACTGGTCGGCTCGGAGTCAGTATACTGTGTCTAAGTGGAGTATTCATGTTAAACTGCGGCATGGTATCTCAGTGAGCTAGCACTATAAATCGGCATCAGTCCGGGCTAGTACAAGCAGCCACACACACACACACGTGCATGCACGTCGCTATATAAGTGCAATAATCTTGGACGCGACATTAAACCCCATTTCACCTCACCTCACCCAACTGTGTGGATGAATATTTATCACTTGTTTGTCTGGTCAAAACTCAATTATTTACTGATCGTCATCATTTAAACAATATCTCCCTACATGCTCTATTTCCCTGTGGACAGGCATGCTGGCCGAGCTGGACACTGACACTGTGTCACAGCTTCTAGTATCGCCCGAGATGTTGAAACTAGCCGTGTCCCGAGCCAAGGAGTCCTACCTCAAGTGTAACCATGTCTCACCGGATGGCAGTGTTCCACACACAGAGCCAAACAACAACCAAACGACAGACAGTGATCTCGGACAGAAAGTTTATGACAAAGTTCAGGAAGTTTTCCCTGATCATGCTTCTCATATCACAGGTAAACCAAGACAGCACTTTATATTCTTTTCTTGGAATGTCACAAGAATAATTTTATGACACAAAAACGTTTTATTGAACATGTCTTAAAGTTGTTTCGGTCAGTAGGTTCAGTGAGCAAAAATACTCTCTCAGTGCAGAATGTTTACAGTAATATGTTTATTAATTCTGTCGGAGAAAGCATTGTATCCATCATAAGCTGCAGTTACCATGGTAACCAAATTGTCCAGTCAAAACATTTCAATATTTTTTTTTAATTATGAACAGTGTCTTTTGTCTTTTTGTAGTTCAATGTTCTTTCAAGTTGTCCAAAAAGAAGTGTCCTTAAGACCAACTAATGACAGAACTGTGGAGTAATGTTTATGAACATAATAATCACTGGGGGGTAATTTTCTAAAGGTTAGCGACTTCCTACTTTGTGATACTTACTCTCAACATGGCGTGTTTGTGTTTGTTCGGAAATATTTACAATTTATCCTGTGATTGAATTTGATGCTTGGCACATCTTAACGCACAATCAAGGTAATTAATTTCCTTTTTTGGTCAGTTAGTCCGAGTCGATGGTCATTGTGACAGTGAGGTTGTAATCGGCTCCTCACAAAATTCATGAGCAGGAGGGTCTGCCTTCGACTGCCATTGTAAAAATCTTTTTCATACTTTCCTTTAGTAAAAAAATTGACCCGTGAAGATCCATTAGAATAGAACCTCAGCAACCATGCTTGCCGTAAAAGGCGACTATGCTTGTTGTAAGAGGCAACTTACAGGATCGGGTGGTCAGGCTTGCTGACTTGGTTGATGCATTTCATCGTATCCCAATTCCATGGATCAATGCTCATGATGTCAATCACTGGATTGTCTGTTCCAGACTCGGATTATTTTACAGACTGCTGTCATATAGCTGGAATATTGCTGAATGCGGCGTTATACAACCCCCCAAAAAACAGTAAAAAGATCTCACCACTGTTTGATTTTCCTACATGCGGATGAAAAGCTTTACCCGCCTGTTTTACATGTCTGATACAGTAACAAAGCTCCAAACAGTCAACACAGATACCCACTTACCTGTTTTAACATGAGAGTGTAAGGAAAGTGCTGACTGACTGAGGTGATGTTGACTGTTGTTTCAGGGATGCTGTTGGAGATGGGGACGTCACGGTTGCAGCATCTTCTCTCCGACGACCCCGCCCGACTGACTGTGTACATGCAACAGGCCTACCACACACTACAGCAGTACCACGCCCAGTGCTGAGGATCTCCAGCCACAGATTGCCTCTGCATGTCTTATTTATCATACCCCGCTTCCACATCGTTGCCATGGTTTCTCGTGTCAAACAATATGAAAAATATCTGTTGATGCTAAGTTGATGGTACACATGCTTTGCAAATCCTTTAATTGACCGAAATATGCACGGTACTTTATAAACCAGATGTTGATTTCATTACGCAATTTTGATTGGACTACGCAGGCTTGTTACTCGAGCCAAAATATAACTTCATAATACCAGCCTAGTTCGGCAAGGGTGGAAAGTGGACTGTTACAGTCAGTTAACTCCCTTGTCTCAGGAAGATGGACACAATCTGAGTGGAGGAAGTACCCTTTGAACACTACAGGGGTTTCAAGGAACCCGTTTTTGAACATATTTTGCATTTCAGTTACTTCACATTACAATGTAGGGAAATGTTAGCATGGTTAGTCTGTTGTCTGTGGTCCCAGTACAAAGCTGTGTCTTGTCAGATGACCTCAAAATGATTGACGTGGCTCTTGTACTACACAACTGGAGGGGGCACGGGTGGCCCAGTCGTCTAAGGCGCCGTAAAACACCAGAAACCTATGATTGTGGATTCGAATCCTGATTTGCCTCAATTATGTTTCCAGGTTTGTCATCCCCATACCCGTGCTCGTGGGTTTCACCAAAGTGGTAAACATCTGAGACCTGCATCACTTCAGGCTTTCCTCCCACATTAAGCTGACATGCCGCAATATAACTTGAATACTGTTAAAAGCGGCGTTAAAACCTCAACTCACTCAACTGGAAACTAACCAAGTTTTGACTAACATAAGGACTGCCATCACAGGTGGTTACATATCTCTCAATTATTAACAGGGCACATGTGTATCCAGTCCCTTAAACGTTGCAATTCTCTTGGCTGAGTTGAATCCTTAATAGTTGAAGCCTGTTATGGTGAGTTCGAATCCCAGTTCACACGGATTATGTTTCTTGGTTTGTCAGCACCATATTCATGTTTTTAGGTTTCACCGAAGTGGTAAACGTCTATGACCTCCATCACTTGGGGCTTTCCTCTCACAAGTCGTGAGATGATGACATACTGTTCAAAGCGATGTTAAGCCAAGATCACTCACAAACTCAGTATTACCTTTTCAATTAGTTTTTTAACTCATGAAGATTTTTACAACTTGAATATGAAAACAAATATTTCCTTTGCCATCATCAATGAGCTTCCATCAAAACCAAAGGTCATTCATCATCACATGTATCAATAAGGTACCGTATTCGACATAATAAGCATCCAGGGCGCTCTCAAAATTAGAAATAGGGGGCTTTGTTAGAATATATATTGGTGAGAAAACAAAACAGAGTTGAAAGATCAGAAATTTCGTGGTTTATGCTGACAGTCTGAAATGTTTATATATGACAGATATATTTTTCCAGAATTTAATTGCCCATAATTAAGGGTGCATATGACAAACCAGTGCGTATTATACGAGAATAAATAAGTCTTGTGTACATTGATCATTCAGAAGGAGTGCTAATAGGGATTGTTCACTAGCCAATACATTAGCAAATATCGCTGTGGGTGCTCATTAGAGCGGGGCGCTTATTACGTCGAATACGGTATATGTATAATATTGCGAGGACCTGGAATGATGGGACTATTTTAGTTGCAAAGGAATCCAATCTCATTAAAATGTGGCTTTTTACTCTGGTATTATACCTCCCTGCATAAACACATGTAATTGTCATTCAAAAGTGGTGCAATAGGTAGAAGAAATACAGTAAACTACGGTTATAACGAACTCAAAGGGACCACTAATTTTATTTCGTTATAACCGTAGTTTGTTATAAGCATATATGCAGCATATATACAACAAATGGCCGGGACTAAAAAATAAGTTTGTTATATCGGTCAGTTCGTTATAAGCGTGTTCGTCATAACCGTAGTTTACTGTATCCTCAAAAGACATGCTGATTCACATCCAACAACAATCTGCTTGAAGGTCTTGGATTTTCACTGCGTGATTAAAGAAACAGTTTTCCCTTTCAATCCTTTTCCTTGGAAATGTTATATCTTAAAATATATGCAAAATATTTTGCGAATTTTCTGAAAAAAAATAGTATTGCTAAATATTTTGCATACATTTTAAGACGTAGCATTATCGGGGGAAAGAATGGTTGCCAGAAAAACGTTATTTTCAAACGTAATTGGCGTTGCCAATGATTGGCTGATGTGACCTCCATGGTATGGTATCAGAGCAGAAGATCACATTTTAATGAGCCCGAACGGAAACAGAACGTTTGTGTTTCAGCAATGCATTGTTGCAGATGATGATGATGGATTTAGTTATGATCACATACTCATGATAATGAATTCCACTTTGTACAATTGTCTTTCCATATATATGAGGGCATTTGCTATTATATTAACAACTATTTACAATTAGTATTTTATTTGGTTGTCTGTTGCCTGTACTGCTTGATGTGTTCGGCGTGAGGGTCAGCGTCTGCCCCACCCAGCGCTGTGCTGGGGGGACGGTGAAGGGGAGAAAAGATTTTGTTATTTTCAGGTTTGTTTTTCTCTTTATTTTGGGGGGAGTTGGTGAATCAAACTAATTCAGTAAGGTGATACGTACTGGCTAGGGTGATATGGTGTGATTAGACCGCCGTCATATAGCTGGAATATTGCTGAGTGTGGCGTAAAACAACAAACCAACCAACCAACTGGATCGGGAAATCTATATCTTTGTCTCTGGGAGAAGTTTGGTGCTAGGTCTTCAGCACAGCATGAGGAGTACCGTAGTGCTGCCACAGTGGTTGTGAAGGACCTGATCGGAGTCACAGATCTTCCTCCATGTGCTTTGTCTGTTTGAAGAAAGGGTGGCTGTGAGGTGTTATGTTTTTCCTTCATCTGACATGATCTGGTTACATAGTGTGGCATGATCAAGTTACTTGGCATGACATGATCTAGTTGCATGGTCTGACACGATCAATTTTCATGGTCTAGTTGCATGATGTCAAATTACCAATTTACATGATGTAACATGATCTAATTAAGGGTCTAACAAGATCTATTTACCTGGTCTAACATGGTCTATATAATGGTCTAATGTAATCAAGTTACAGATGTAACATGGTCTATTTTATGGTGTAACATGATCTTGTTGTGTGATCTGACATGAACCATTTACATGGTCTAACATGAGTTACTTACATGGTCTAAGTTTGTTCAGTTTTTGTAATCATTCCATGAAATCCACCAAGTATTGATGATAGGTTTGTTTCCCAATGCATGGTATTATAACACTTCCAGTGTCATTTATTTGTGTTCACGACCACTTTTGCCGGGAAATCCTGAAGTATAAAATATCCGAATGTGCATATGTGATATTGTTTTGCATTTTCTACAATGTATGGGTTGTTTCGGTGATAGAATTATTGGTGTTGTTTTTCAAATGATATAAAACCAAAGTACCTTTTGTTACAGAATGGATTTTAAACAGGATTGGAAAAATTATGTCAGATTGTATGATGACTTACAAACAATATGTTGTATGTTTTGTTTTTTGTTTCCCATCCTCAGTCCGCCATGTTGATGTATGTACTTTACTACTCAAAAATAATTAAGGACTAGCCGATTCTTTTATATTACTTAAGCTAATCTGACATTATGACTGATGAACCATAGTAATATGAAAGAATTGTGGGGTCCTTAACATTTTTTAAGTCATTTATATGTTGATCTCTATACCTTGAATCCTGAATGGTTCATAGATAAACTAAAAAAACAGTGTGAGACAAGCGGACGTGGGAATTAAAATGACGCTGAGCCAACTAGTCCTCGTTTTAGCCCCTTAATGTCGAGCGCCAGAGTAACAACAAGCATCATCTTTTGATGTCTTTTGGTATGATGTGGCCGGGGATCAAATCCATGACCTTCCTCTCTCTGGGCGGACGCTCTGTCCACTAGGCTACAAATTGCAATAACACTGCTAGTTTCTATGAAATATTCTGGGTAGAGGTAAAGGAATGTTGTGTTACATACTGCAACAGATTGAGGATGTTGTTTGGGTTCCAATGAAGAAACGAAGAACTGCAAATATAAGGACTATATATGTACCTTTTCATGTATGCTTCAAGAATTTAGTATTATGATAATCGCTTTGCATTCCAGATAAAATTTATAATGAATATGTTCTCTTGTTTGTGTTTTGTACTGAACAGTGAGTGAATACTGTTTCATGTTGCACCTCCGTGGGTATTCTGTAGCAGGTACCCAGTACCGATGCTTGTCTGAGGTGGAAGATTGTTGGGTTACAATGTGTCGTGATTGATCGTACAGCATGTATTGTTGCTCATGCTGTTGACCACTAGTGTGCTTGGAGGAGACTCGATCCTTTATTCATTTTCAAGCCCTCTCCTCTCCCCTCAATCTTGGTAGCTAGCATCAAGATGTGATATAAAATTGATTGAAGTTGCTGTGATTTGCTGACTGCAGCATTAAACAACATTCGTTCACTCACTGTGACTTTCTTTGTGATATCACAGTGGTGGTTCAAACACACACATTCAAAAGCATGACTTTCCTAGTGGTGTGAGATACAGCATTTAGTGTTCAGAGTTACCTCCCTTACTTCTAATTTGTTTTGTTTGTCATAAAATGCAACACTCAATATTTCAGCTATTTGATGGCAGTCTTTTGATAATGTTTGGACCAGACAATCTAGTGATTGACATCATGAGCATCGACACAATCAGGCCACAATGACATGCAATCCACCAAGTCACAGGGCTTAACCAACCGTTCTTTAAAGTCGATAAGCAAAACTCCAATGGAAACACATATTTATGTTCTCAACTTTTGTTCCAAGTATATTGTCGGTGTATCAGATGACAGACTGCTCACTATTGCAACAACTAATCATAATCCCCCCTCAAATTAAAACCTTGATTAATTGATAGTAAGTTAATTTTAAGGTACAAATCTTTTTTTTAGGCCAACTACATTGAACGCGGGCGAAAACATTTTGTAGGCAAACTAATAGTAAGTAAAAGGCATCATTGTTAAATCCAACTCATTCACTGAACGCCTTTAGTTTCGACGTTGTTACCTGACAACACGGCTCCAGGAACAACCATCTTCACAAGCCATCACACCTGTTACGTGGCAGTGGAGATCGTGGTATTTGTCAGCGGTAGGAAATGACAAACACAGTTAAAATGTTGATTGCTGTCATGGCAGTTTTCAGCGGTCTGCAGCAGCAAAAGTCATTTAGAGTTACCTCCCCTGGTTGTTGACAATCATGACATGATCTGGTTTGATTGTTGAAGTTTCGAAATAAAGGAGCTACACATGGGTGATTCGAGGCCCTTTTAAGACCAGACTTGCATCTTCTTGCCAAGAGTGGACAGATACCTGTCTGAAAACACTGATTTCTTGCCAGCTTCCAATACTATTCAGAATCAACAGTGACAATATTCTGGAGATTCATTAGTGCACTGACCTGTGATAGGGCTTGTTACTAATTGCTCCTGTCTCATATTTCACCATTGGTATTGTGATGCTTACGACTTGGTGAGTATGGGTATGTTTGCTGACAAACCTAGGAACAATCAGAGTCAACTCTAAGATACGAACCCCTTCTCATCGGATTATCACAACTAAGGGAGGCAACTCTGCACAATGAAAAGCAGCATATTTGGCAACTGGACCATCCTGCTTCCTCTCCCAAACTTAAACTTTTTCGTCAATTCTAACAGTGGAAACAAATAGAGTCAGAAACTTCAGAACGATTTTCAATATAATACTCCGGGATTGTTCTTTTGTTTCCAGCTTCAAATCAATGGGATCATGGTTGTTTCAATGCAACAACAACAAAAAACAAGACAACTGTGTCAATATTTATTTGTACATCCAAGCAAACACTTTTGTTTTATACATATAGATTATGTACAATATCATTCATACAAAAGATTAACAGACTCAAGCCAACACTAAAGCTTAGGCAAGTCAAAGCCACTCACATCATCAAACAAATCCTTATCCTAAAATGCCTCACAGTCTTTAATCACAATAAAACCTTTCCCCAACAGACAGAACAGACATCTTCTGGTATGTATTTTTCTGTTCACTGCGCATCTCTTGTGTACCATCATTCCACCATGATTTGTGAATACATATGGCTGCTTTATTGTGTAGTCATTATATTTAACCAACATGAGCAAGAGCTCTGACCAATGAGGGCTCAGAGGACACTTCCTGGTTCCAGCATGAGCTCTGACCAATGAGGACTAACAGCACATTACCTGGTTCCATCAAGAGCTCTGACCAATGAGGGCTGGTTCCAGCAAGAGCTCTGACCAATGAGGGCTCAGAGGACACTGCACCTGGTTCCAGCAAGAGCTCTGACCAATGAGGGTTCAAAGTACACTTCCTGGTTCCAGCAAGAGCTCTGACCAATGAGTGCTGGTTCCTGCAAGAGCTCTGACCAATGAGAGCTCAGGGTACACTGCATAATAAAGGCAATGTTTCTAATGCAACATGATTCAGCCTTGAGGCCTCAACTCTACACGTGCACATAGCTTCAATATCAGGCAACAATTGGGTTCCCAAAATTCATGCGTGGAATAGGGCTCATTTGACATTCATGAATTATACAAGGCCTCCTTTCATTGTCTTAGATAGATAGGGGTCTGTATCACACCACATAGCGGCCATGTGTAGTCTCAGGACGAGGAATGTATTGTATACAATCCCTTGAAGTACTGACGACACCTCACGACATATCTTAAGTCAATCTATTCCCAATATAAACTGGTGCAGCCAAGAATTGTGAACAAAAAGTCAATTTGTCAAAAGTATGCAGTTACAGAACAGAAAGTCAATTAATTGGCATTTCATTTCTCATTGTCTATCACGGCAACAGTGAATGGGAAACACTGCGACATCTAGTAAGTACGACATCACCTCATCATGTGACTTCATGGAACTGATAAATGGATGACCCTGATGTCATTAATGACGTGTGTAAATGACCATGTGTTTATCCATTTGTTAATACATAAGAGCACCAACATAGACAAAATGGTGGTTTCTTACTGAAGGTTTTACCTATGTGCAATTAAAATATTAATAAAGAATAATCAGTCTAATAAAGAGAAAGAAAACATTTATCGGGCATTAGCGTGTCACTTTTAATCCTGTACATTATCTGTCATAATTATTGAATTTTTTTTTAAAATTTTCAAATTTCCTGTATCATATAAAGCAGGCTGTTATCAATGCTGGACAACTGACATTGTGTTACAGAGTTGAGATAAATGTTGCCCAGTTGTGTTTGTTGGTATTCCGGGAGGGTTAAATAATAAAATGTGTTCCTCCCTCATCACTTTCGGTTTCAATAAAAATTAAATGGTCCTACCACCCTCATATTTGAGGCAAATGTGCTTGAGAAACAGTGGATTCGTACTTCGGCAAGGGTGGAAACTGGACTTTTATAGTCAGTTAACTCCCTTGCCTCAGGAAGATGTTTGAAACCTGACAGGTTTCAAAACTTGTAAAACTTAATGCTGAAATTTAACCATGCCATAAAATAGCTAATATTTTCTTGTCAATACAGTCAATGAATCGGTTCCTATCCTATAGCACCTCGTCCTGTTTGACCTCCAGGGATGTGTAATTGTGATGCACCGAGACAGGGACAGCGGCAGTACCATAAACTTGTAGAAACAGCAAGAAATAGAGAAGTGGGTCTAGCCTGACCCCCGTCATCAGCTGTCCCCATACATCATGTAGGCCACGCCCGCCAGCGCCGCCACCAACCCACTCACGGCCATGCCTGTAGGGGAGAAGACAATAGTGCACTATAAGACACAAGCAGAATTATCAGGAGACTCTTACAGTGATGGGTATTGGCCTGAAGTTAGTATTGCAATTCATTGCAATCATGATTCGATACACGATATTGCGATACGTACCACAATAGATTGCCTAATTTCATCTGTAATCGGTTACAAACCTGAATCAAACAAGCATGAAAGACTAATCTCCCCTGCCAATATGACATGTCTGCTTGTTTGCAAGCAAGAAATATTGCACGGTTTTGAAGATCTGCTCTGGAAACGAGCACAGCCGCCATTTTCAGTCTAAGTCAAAGTCGTTGCTAATGAAATTTAAAAAAATCGAAATTTTTTCAAAATTTCCAAACTATCAAAAGGTACCAGTTCACCACTAGACCTATCTACGTGCATAAGATATCTCTCATGGTTTTTGAGTTCTGCTCCAGAAAAGAAACGTGACAGACGGACCATATTTTGGACATCTTCGTATTTTGTTGGATGTTGCTATGGTCACCACACATGCATAATAGACCCACATATACAGGAAAATGGTCGCAAATAGTTTCGCTTTTTCGATCACAGGAAACAGTTGCTAATTTCATAATTTCTATCCAACTTATCTATTGTTGTCACTTATGTTAAATTTGCCAACAAGATGAAAATACAGATTTGAAAAACACAATATACCGGTATTTTCCAAACATATTGTGATACGTATTCATTAGTGTGTCATATCGTGGTATACCTTATGTCGGTAGTATCGCGCACCTCTACTCGTACAATGGCATGTGAGGGAAAACACATCGCTTCCTTATTCTGGGGTAAATCTGTTTGAGTGTATAGTCTCGTCATGGATGTGTATGATGCTGCTAATCTCACTGTTTTCAGCTGTTCTAACACTGGAGTTGCATACTCACACCTGTTCATGCCTATCTACAGCATCACACGGTCAGGTACCTAGTGGTTCAAGTGTTGCCTGTTTGTGATGAACACCTGGGTTCAATTCCCAACATGGGGGCTTTGAATGAAACCTGGCTTTGAGATTCCGGGTAAGAATATACTGTATTCGACGTAATAGGCGCCCCGCTCTAATAAGCGCCCACGGCGATATTTGCTAATATATTGACTAGTAAACAATCCCAATTAGCACCCCTTCGGATTGATCAATGTTCACAAGATTTATTTATTCGCGTATAATACGCACTCGTGTGTTATATGCACCCTTAATTATAGGCAATTAAATTCTGGAAAAAATATATATGTCGTATATAAACATTTCAGGCTGTCAGCATAAACCACGAAATTTATCTTTCAACTCTGTTTTTTTCACCAAAATAATATTCTAATAAGAGCCCCCTATTTCTAATTTTAGAGAGCGCCCTGGGCGCTTATTACGTCGAATACGGTAGGTCCCAATCAACCTGTGCTTGTTTTAAGAGGCAACTCAGTGGACCAGTTTGTCAGGCTTGGTGACTTGGCTGATTTGTGTCATCGTACCAGATGGTTGCTCGTAATATCAATCTCTGTTTTGTCTGGTCCAGACTTTATTATTTACAGACCGCTATCATATAGGTGGAATACTGCTAACAGCAGCGTAAAACTAAACTTCACCAACAAGCACACAGGCCGGATCCACATGGGCGGTCCAGGGGGTCCCGAAACTCCCTTTTGAAAACCAAAAGTAGTATGTTTTAGACAATCCTTCCCCTCCCCCGACTAACCCACTGAGCGAGGCGGCTGTAATATAGCTGGAATATTGCTGAGTGAGGCATTAAACAAAAACGAACAAACAAACTGAGAGGATTTTGATATTTTGGACCCCTCCTTTTTAAAAATGATGGATCCGCCCTTGAAGAGACCCCCACTGGGAGGCCTGGTCCTACCTAGATAAGCTCCAAGACTGCTCCTGGCGCCAGCAGAACCTCCCGCGTGTTCCGTGCCGTCCTCTGACACAACTCCTGAAGACCAGTCCTCCTCCTCTGTAACAGGACAAACACAGGCACATCAGGGAGATGTCACCTTTGACATCAGCACCACCCGTGTCCCTTGGCATACTACATTACACCAGATAGCATCACTCTTTTAACTTGAGACACTTTTGACATAAACATATCCAAGAAGACTTAAGAAAGGGGACCTTTTGTTGTAGAGCAATGATAGGTAGAAAGAATGGAAGGGGAAAAGAAATAATTCCCTATCCCTGTTTGCACCTCTCAAACAGAAGTTCAAGGTCAGTCTACAAGCATCTCTCTCAAACTGAAGTTCAAGGTCAAACCATCCTGCATTATGTCTCTTAAACAGAAGCTCAAGGTCAGACCATCCTGCATGTCTCTCAAACAGAAGTTCAAGGTCAGTCTACCAGCATGTCTCTCAGACTGAAGTTGAAGGTCAAGGTCAAACCATCCTGCATGTCTCTCAAACAGAAGTTCAAGGTCAGTCTACAAGCATGTCTCTCAAACAGAAGTTCAAGGTCAGTCTACAAGCATGTCTCTCAGACTGAAGTTCAAGGTCAATGTCAGTCTACAAGCATGTCTCTCAAACAGAAGTTTAAGATCAGACAACCACTATGTCTCTCAAAGAAGATGTCCAAGGTCAGTCTACCTGATTACATTGGGGTATGTCTTCCAGTCTGTCTCCCAAACCGAAGTTCAAGGTGCGTCTACCTGCATTTGTCTCACAAAGAAGTTCAAGGTCAGTCTACAGCATGTCTCCCAAACAAAGGATCAAGGTCAGTCTACCTGCATGTCTCTCACACTGAAGTTCAAGGTCATCTTCTGTGACATCGATGTCCAGCAACTCCTTTAGCCTCTCTGTCACCTCCAGCGTCCTTTCATCTTGGAACATGTAGTCGCAGAACGCCAGTGACGACTTGGGCACCGTGGTAAAAACGCGGACTGGTGTATCGTACAACTCCCTAGCTGAAACAGGTGCGTCAACGCATGAGACGCTACACAACCTTTGTCACAACAACTAAATGATAAAAAATACTGAACAAAAAAGTCGCGAGGGAATATTCATGGGATATTACTATGAAAGTGTTTGCATAGTCCCCACTACAAAAACATCCCAAAAACATTAATGACCCCTAACCTTTGTTCAGCATCTATATCTTGCAAGCTGCTTATTCAGCCATGCCTGGATCCACTCTTCTGGTTTGAATTACAGGTTCTCATGGATTTATATACCTCGATGGTCAACACAAACTGCATGCTTGTCGGGTTGAACAAAGTGTGTTTCAGTTATCACCTGTATCACTATACTAGGGCTTTCCTCTCGCATTAAACTGATACACTGTGATGTACAGAAATAGGTTCAAAGCAGAGATGGAAACAAACAGTTTTAGTCCACTTGTCCATATAATGATAACATATAGCAAAACCCTTAAAACGGGCCAATTTCTACTAATCTCTCTGATACCTTAACTACTGGGCAGTTTGGCAAGGACTATAGGCCTAGGGCCAATTTATAACACTGTCAAAGCAGAGCTATACCCACTTGATTACTCTACATAAACAACACCAGCTATCACAAGGGCATTATCATGATAACAGACCTGTGAAGATCTGGGGTAGAATAGGTCTTCAGCAACCCATGCTTGCCGTAAAAGGCGACTATGCTTGTCGTAAAAGGCCACTAACGGGATCGGGTGGTCAGGCTCGCTGACTTGGTTGATGCATGTCATCAATCCCACATTGCGAGGATCGATGCTCATATCAATCACTGGATTGTCTGGTCCAGACTTTATTATTTAAAGACCGCCGTCATATAGCTGGAATATTGCTGAGTGCAGCGTTAAACAAAACAACCAATCAATCATGATAAAAACCAAGAAATCACAAGGCCAAGTAGAGCTGTGCAGGTCAAATACCTCCATCCTCTTCCACGACCTCGAGGTCCTCACACAGCAGCTCACACCGAGACACCAGGCTCCGCACGACGTCACTGCGTACCGCCTGTAGGAAACGACATATCGAGCGTGAAGAACGCTTAACGCTGTCATCAACAATGACAACAGTTATGACAATTACCTTACCTAGTTCAGCTGATCGCCATTACCTTTCCGCCCATCACAGAACACAGTCTGATCGCATACTATTAGACTAAAACTAAACATGCATGTGAATAAAACTCAAACCTGACAGCGATAACCTCCTGTGAGACAGGTCAATTCGAACCTGGTGAATTTCATTTAAAACATGACACATATCATAACGTGACTCAAGTATCACAATTTATTACCTACGAGGACAAACATATCTGGGTTCATAAAAATCGTAGGTGCCCTTGGGTCATATCATAACAGTGTATTGTTTCCATCATCCGGACCGGATTGTTGACGTCATTCGTATCTTATTGTGACATGAGGTTGGAATCACGTCACACTAGAAATTACGTCATAGCTGAATATTTTTGACGTCATTCAACAAATTGTGGTTCCACTGCTGTTACGGCTTGCTGTCATGTACGTTTTCAGGCTTAGTAAGGGTCGCTTAAAGGTAACCTATAGATTGGTTTTGAGGTTGGTCAGGTGAGTGCTGCAATTAAAACTGAAAATATGGAATATAAACACTTTGCATCCAAACTGTCCCCTACAGCAGATATGACAGTGTGACATTGTATGTCTGAGTGAGTGAGTGAGTTGGGTTTAATGCCGCTTTTAACACTATTCCAGTTATATCACGGCGTGTCAGCTTAATTTAGGAGGAAAGCCCGAAGTGATGCTGGCCTCGGACGTTTACCACTTTGGTGAAACCCACAAACACGGGTATGCATTGTATATCTGAAGTTTGAAGCCGTCATCTATGAAACATGCATACCTCAATAGCATCCTTTACAGTTGCACGATTGTTGACCAATGACCTTCCAATCATCTGACCTCTGACCTTAAGGATGGCCTTGACTGACAGCACTGTGGGGTCAGACACACTGTTGTTATCTGACTGCAACAGACATGAAAATATCAAGATAATCTTAGAATAGGTCAGGAGTCATTGTCATAAAATAGAGGTCCGTCATGGACAGAATGAGAAATTTGTGGAAATGTTGTATTAATACACCCCATCTACGTATGTTCACATAGACTGTCGACCGCCTCTGTGGTAGAGTGTCTGCCAACGGAGCGAAAGGTCAGGGTTCAGTCCTCAGCCGCATCATACCGCATCAGACGTTTACCACTTCGGTGAAACCCACGAGCACGGGTATAGTGCTGACAAACCTAGAAACATAATCGGGGCGAACCGGGATTTGAACCCACAATCATAGGTTTCTGGTGCCCAACTCTGCACAGCGAATCGTGGCGCCTTAGACGATTGGGCGACCCGTGCCACTAGCACATAATAAATAAATCTTAGAAAACACTTGAAGCCACGTCAGTGAATTACAGTTGTCACATTAAGGCGTTTAGGAAATAAGTGTTTGTTTCACAGAGTCAGTAGCAGTTATCCGATCACAGTACATAACAATCTGATCTCACTTGTCCACACACAATTTTGCCTTAATTATTCACACAATATTCAAGGCCGTAGTTAACTTTTTTTGACAGGGGGACGCAAATATTTGTACAAGTATCACTTGTCCCCAACTTATATTTTCCTGATTCAAATAGAACTGTTTTAAAAAAAAAATCATAAAAATGGTTTTGTTGTTTTACCCTACTGACGAGAAGATCCACGGCAAACTGCTGCCTCACGGGACTTCCCCTGTCCTTGGACTTCCCTTTCCTTGTTTCTGATTGGTCGAGTAGTTCGTCGTTGTTTCTGAGCTCACCATTCAACAGCGCCATGCCACTGTATATAGATTTGCAGAAGGGTTGAATTCCTTGCTGTAAGAGAAGTAATATTTCTGAGGAACTGGTATATACTGATGGAAATAAATAAGGGAACATCTGTGCATAGCAAGTGTTTCACAGTTGGTACGTGTGTCAGTGAGTTAGTGGAATGGACACATCCTAGGGTACCTTTCTGTAAGGGCTGGGACGAGTCCTAATTTACTACCCGGGTACCCATCCCCTAATAACCCGACACTCCCCGGGTACCCACTGTAGGTCTCAGGAGATGTCTCAAAATGTCTGATTTGGAACATTTATAGCATAGCACTGGCAAAACGTATTTAGAAGTATGTATTAAACAATCTGGTCATTCATACACTGATGTTGAATTAAGTTTTTGTCTTTATTCATCCATACGAAAAATCAGAAGGAATGGGTGCAAAGTTAGAAAGAAATGCGAACATTAATGACCTGTAGTGTAACCATAGAGTTCTAGATAATTTTTGACATTAAACAATTTTTCACATGACTAACCATGGGTCCGGGTAGTCCTGTGGGTACCCGGGTCTTAGTCAGTACCCACCTGACCCGGGTACCCGAGTTACCCGTCCCAGCCCTAGAGGAAATGTTAAGTCACATCAGCAATATTTCAGCAATAATGGGACTTGAACATGAGATCACATATATAATCTGTCTTCGAAGGAGTCCATCACAAGAAATATATCACATATTTATCTGAATACCCAAGGGGGCAAAATCATTTTATTTAAATCGTAAGTATGAAATAAATTATACTCTGTTCCCATAGGCATTTAAGTTGAAAACACTAAATAAATCCTGACACTAGATAACACTATTTCCCTGTGTCTAATGTTGTTGATACTTAGCATTCATATCAGAAGCATCCAAAACAGAAACGTTTTCGTAACCATGGTAACTCCCAGAAATCTGACCTGAATCTGTTTATGCATGCTGGTGGTGCGAGTGTCGTTGGGGACGGTGATGGTGACATCCACTGACACAATGGTGGACAGCTGCGACCAGCGGTCAAGAAGACCACTCATGTACCGCCATTCTGCTGGACGGGCCGTACTCTGCAATGGACAGAAATGAGTGAGTAAGTAAGTTTGGGCAATTGCAACTTTGAACAGTATTACAGATACCATATATGACGTAATAAGCACCCACGGTGATATTTGCTAATATATTGGCTTGTGAACAATCCATTTAGCACACCTTCTGATTGATTAATGTACAAAAGACTTATTTATTCTTGTATAATGCGCATTCGTGTGTTATATGCACCCTTGATATATATATCTGTCGTATATAAACATTTCAGACTGTCAGCATAAACCACAATATTTATCGTTCAACTCTGTTTTTTTTCACCAAAATAATATTCTCATAAGAGCCCCCTATTTCTAATTTTGAGAGCACCCTGGGTGCTTATTACGTCAAATACAGTACATCACAAAGTCACTTTAAGTGTAAGCTTGATGCAGGAGCATTGCCCGAAGTGATGCAGGTTTTAGAGGGGTACCACGCTGGTGAAACCTACGAGCATGGGTATGGTGCTGACAAACCTAGAAACATCATCAGGGGGAATTGGGATTCAAACATACAATCATAGGTTTCATGTGTGCCTGTGGGATCCAACTCTGCACAGCCTTGGCAAACAAAAAAAAAACATATGTGTCTACACGAATACAGCCCAGTGAGTGGGCTCAACTGGGTGTCCTTTACACCACTGGTAGTGAAGTATGACAACTCATACAAATACAAGAGTCATCAGAAGATGACATATCCCCCGGTTTGGTGCAATTTGGAAATGGAGTTTGGCTAGTCATACCCCACTTTTGATTCACTGCCATTGGATACTTTCAGTTCAGTGAAGAAAAAAATAATGCTGTTCAGTATTTTTCAATACAAATCATCAAAAGGCACCAGTTCACCACAAGACTGATCTGTTAAAGCCAGTTTCATCTTGAAATATTCAAAGGTGGTAACAACACTACTAGGGGTGTCACGATAAATCGAAATATCGATACATTGCTATTGGTAAGCACTTAAAGTCAATAAATCGATTGTTATATCAGTGTCTGATCAATAGTATCGATTTCAGTTAGGAATATCGATAGTTTTGATTGTATTTACCATATCAATAAAATGTATGCAATGCTGTTCAAATTTGCTTTTCTTTTGATCATGAATGGTAGTAATAGATATCATCTAAAGGCACCAGTTCCTAACTAGACTATATAGCATCTATATAGCAAGTTTCAAAAAGAAATATTTCAAGGTTTTCGAGTTCTGGTCCATTTCACAAAGCAGGAGTATAAACAATAATATGATTAAGCAACTGAAATGAAGGATATACTCTTTCTGAAACCATTACATTTTGTTGCAGATATAAAAAGTATTATTGTGACTGAAACTGTGCAACAGAAAAAGGTTGCTTGCTGAACATATCACAGAAATGTAATAAGAATCTGCTTCAGAATCGGGAAAAATCTGCCCAGGAAATTTTGTTATCTTAATTTGAAAATGTTTAATTCAAACACTGACTGAACTGCCTCGACTAAAAATTACACTTGCTCTATTAGTCACGTCTTACCTTCATGTCTGCCACATCAAACGTCCTGCAGGTTGCCCTGACACCAAGATAAGGAAACTGGTTGCAGGGGTCTCTGTTTGTTTGTTTGTTTGTTGTTTAATGCTGCACTGAGCAATATTCCATCTATATTAGGATGGACTGTAAATAATGGGGTCTGGGCCAGACAATTATGAGCTTCAATCTATGCAAGTGTCAGCGAGCCTGACCACCCAATCCCGTTATAGTCGCCTATTATGACAAGCATGGGTAGCTGAAGATCAATTATAAGCTGGACTTCACAGGGCTTGCAGAGAATGTCGAAGAAGAGTGAGTGAGTGAGTGGTTTGACGCTGTAGTCCAACAATATCCCAATTGGGGGGTTGGCATCAGAGATGGGCTTCACACACTGTACCCAGGACTGAAAACAATTCACCCGAATACATCCAGCATCACCATGGGTTTGTCAGGTGATCAGGTTGCGTAAGCTCACAATGCACGGGATTACAGTGAGAGAGCCATTCATTTTGGTGGTGACCATGGTGATGCTGGGATGCGTTCAGGTGAATTGTTTTTAGAAGCTGGAAACTTTGTTCAAGCACATTTCCAAACAAGAATCAAAAGAAGAAGGAAGAAATGCATAGTGTGAGATGGGAGAGGTTTAAAAATTCTGATTTGTTTGCTTGTATGAAGGATACTTTCTGGCCACTGAGCATATCTGTAGCACCAAGCGGTCAGTGATGGCGTTGTCTCGGTCACAGACGGTCAGTTTACTGAGGGCCTTGTGGACAGCAAAGACAACCTGAAACAGAGAAACACCATGTGAATGGCTTCATTTAGCCACATTCATGTGTATCCACCTGAAGTGTGAGGAGCACCCTAAGTGACACGCGCCATAGATGTTTACCTCTAAAGGAACAAAACATCTGGGATTTGTACACACAATTCTGGCATGACTAAGATGAGAAGAGATCTAACTGTGGGAGGAGAGATCTACCTGTGAGATGAGAGATCTACATGTGGGAGGGGGGATCTACCTGTAAAGGGAGAGATCTACATGTGAGGGGAGAGATCTACCTCTGAGAGGAAAGATCTACCTGTGGAACAAGAGATCTACCTGTGGGAGGAGAGATCTACCTGTGGGGGGAGAGATCTACCTGTGGGAGGAGAGATCTCCCTGTGAGAGGAGAGATCTCCCTGTGGAAGGAGAGATCTACCTGTGGGAGGAGAAATCTACCTGGAAGAGGAGAGATCTACCTGTTGGAAGAGAGATCTATCTGTGAGTGGAGAGATTTACCTGTGAGAGGAGAGATCAACCTGTGGGAGGAGAGATCTACCTGTGGGAGGAAGATCTACCTGTTGGGGAGAGATCTACCTGTGGGAGGAGAATCTACCTGTGGGAGGAGAAATCTACCTGTGGGAGGAGAGATCTACCAGTGGGAGGAAAGATCTACCTGTTGGGGAGAGATCTACCTGTGGGAGGAGAATCTACCTGTGGGAGGAGAAATCTACCTGTGGGAGGAGAGATCTACCAGTGGGAGGAAAGATCTACCTGTTGGGGAGAGATCTACCTGTGGGAGGAGAATCTACCTGTGGGAGGAGAAATCTAACTGTGGAGGAGAGATCTACCTGTGGGAGGAGAATCTACCTGTAAATTTCTAGCGGTGTTAATTGTGCAGTTACAAAATTGACATCATTGATCATTACTTGTGCTTCTGTCAGTGATATGAAGGTAATTACAAGCTCAAACATATGTACATTTTCAGGAGCAAGATGGCATGATAGCGAATGTAAAGAGTTGAAACATGAGAAATATCGTATTCTTAATATGTTTAGAATAACTGGTGATCTGAACTATTTACAACAGTTTAGACAGTTAAGAAATGCGTATCGAAATATGTGTAGACAAAAGAAATTGATTTTTGAAGAGCAATTACTTGAGGATTTAATGTCTCATACTTGTACTCCTAAGATCTTCTGGAACCAAGTGAAGGGACTTGTATCAAAAAACAGTAATGCAACTCAGTTTATAGCTCCATCAGAATGGGTCTCCTACTTTAAAAATATTTTGAATATAACTGATTATGATGTTGATCATGATAATCTTGCTTCCGCTGAGAGTTTTGTTTATGAACACGAGGAATCTAACTGTTTTGTCTGCAATGATGAAGAATTAAATGATATTTTGAATTGCGAAATCACTGAACCAGAAATCTTACATGCTATTGATCATTTGAAAGATGGTAAGACAGCTGGTCCCGATGGAGTTCTACCAGAAATGATAACGTGTTGCAAGGGTAATCTTCTTCCTTATCTAGTTATATTATATAACGCTATTTTGCATAGTGGTAATTTTCCTGAGGACTGGGCTCGAGGTTTACTTACTCCCCTTCATAAGAAAGGCAGCAAATTTGATGTTAACAATTATAGGGGTATTACACTTAGTGATGTATTGGGTAAAATATTTACTTTTATTCTTAATAAACGGCTTACTATGTTTTGTGACATTTACGATAAGATACCAGAGTCTCAGGCAGGTTTTAGGGCTGGATACAGCACCATTGATAATATATTTGTGTTGCAAAGTCTAATACAGAAATACTCATCTAAAGCTTATGGCAGATTTTACTGTTTATTTGTTGATTTTAGAAAAGCCTTTGATTGTGTAAATAGAAAATTGTTGTGGTATGTCATGTTAAATAAGGGTATACATGGAAAGTTATTTTATGTCATTAAAGATATGTATTTAAAAGTGAAATCGGCTGTAAAGTTATCAAATAGCACAGCAACTTGCTACTTTGAAACGCTAAGTGGTGTACGCCAAGGCTGCACCCTTAGCCCTATATTGTTCTCTTTGCTTATTGTTGAATTAGAATCAATGTAGTTGGTCTCCAACGAAAACTTAATATCCTTAAATCTTTCTGTACTAAATGGGGTTTAGAAGTTAACCATAGTAAGACTGAAATTTTAGTTTTCAGAAATGGTGGAAAACTTAGGAGTACTGAGAAATGGAGGTTTGGAGAGGTTAATGTTAATGTATCTACCTATTATAATTATCTAGGTTTGTTATTTTCAAATCGGCTGTGTTGGACGACTGGTATCAACTCTCTTGTTCAGAAGGCAAATAAGGCTCTGTTCGTCGTTAAGAAATTACAGCATTGTTTGAAGAACATACCCGTACATATACTTTTTAAAATATTTGACATTCAAATTAAGCCTGTATTATTATACACTTCAGAAATATGGGGCTATTCAAAAATTGCAGCTATTGAAAAATTTCAGATTAAATTCTGTAAATTTACTATTGGAATTGGAAGTCATGTTACAAATGTTGCTGCCCTTGGCGAATGTGGTAGATATGGCTTATTTATTGATTATCACAAGAGATGTATTAAATATTGGTTGAAATTGTTATATTAACCCAGTTATAGATACCCTAAGCAATGTTATTTAATGCTGAAATCTTTAGATGAAGTTAATCGCACTACATGGGTAACTTGTGTCAAAAGACTATTATTCAGTTATGGATTTGGCCACGTGTGGATTTCGCAGGAAGTTGGTAATGAGACCCTCTTTATTAATGCATTTACCGGTATTCAAAGGTTAAAAGACTGTAACCAACAGGACTGGTATTGTAAAGTTTGTGAAATACGTAAATTATCAATGTATAAGGAATATAAGTCATTGCTAACAGTTGAAAAGTATCTCTGTGAAATCACAAGCCGTCATTATAGACGTATGTTTTGTTTGTTAAGAATTGGCGAGTTGCCATTGATGGTAAATTTAGGTAGAAGATGCGGTATAGAGTACTGTAATAGGCAGTGCAGATATTGTAATTTACAGGAAATTGAAGATGAGTTTCATTTTATGCTTGTCTGCCCATGTTACAGATATTTAAGAAATAAGTATTTACCTATTTATTACTCTTCCAATCCTACCTTATTTAAATATAATGCTCTATTATCTTGTAACCGCACTAGTATTGTAACTAATTGTGTTAAGTATATACTGGAAGCACTTGCAATCCGAAATACTATCACTTAATACCCTCTGTCATCTGCCTCATACTGTATTTTTCAATGAGTATTTGTACGTGGGCCTATGGCCTTTATACTGAAATAAAGAATTGAATTGAATCTACCTGTAAGCAGAAAAATCTACCTGTGGGAGGACAGATCTACCTTTGAGAGGAGACATCTACCTGTGAGGGGAGAGATGTACCTGTGGGAGGAGAGATCTACCTGTGGGAGGAGAATCTACCTGTGGGAGGAGAAATCTAACTGTGGAGGAGAGATCTACCTGTGGGAGGAGAATCTACCTGTAAGCAGAAAAATCTACCTGTGGGAGGAGACATCTACCTGTGAGGGGAGAGATGTACCTGTCTGAGCTTGGCTTGAGCACTCTGCATCATGTTGGGAGGAGCCAGGGCAAAGATCCCAATCACATCCAGGCCGCCCAGTAACATCCTGTCTACCTGCAAAACAAAACCATCCAGCGTTCAAAATCTCCATCCCCAAACATAGTGTAACTATAGTTACGGTAACAATACGCTGTGAAATTATGGGAAACTGACTGTTCTGGAAGAACCACCTAATTCATCTAAAGTCATTGGTCATGACAGCGAGAGAAACATAATTGGGTGCATCTGGGATTCAAACACACCAACCAGAAATTCCTGGCAGGCAGGATATGTCATTTTGTTTGTTTGCTTGTTGTTTAACGCCGCACCCAGCAATATTCCAGCTATATGATGGCGGTCTGTAAATAATCAAGTCTGGATCAGACAATCCAGTGATTGACACCATGAGCATCAATCCATGCAATTGGGATATGGTGACATACATCAACCAAGTCAGCAAGCCTGACCATCCGATCCCGTTAGTCCCCTTTTACGGCAAGCATGGGTTGCTGAAGAACTATTCTACCCCGGAGCTTCAGTGGTCATATATCATCTAAATCCAACAAGACTCATCACAGTACTTTTGGAGAATGTTTTTCATGACTCACTGAATGATGAATGGGGTTAAGAGTTTGGAAGAAAATAAGTTCTACTGAATAAACTGGAAAGAAAAGAATATCATCCTATAACAATATAATAGTGTAGCTTTATATTTTTGCATTTGGAACCTGTGGATTGTAGTCGAGATACAGAAATCAGATATGCTCATCTGAATATTTCGCTTTTGTTATGAGAATTTAGAAGCCTGAATTGGTTTATTAGAAAGTTCAAAGGTTTGTTTGTTTGTTTGTTTGTTGTTTAATGCTGCAATATTTCAGCTATCTGATGGCGGTCTGTAAAAAATACAGTTTGGACCAGACAATCCAGTGATTGACATCATGAGCATCGATCCACGCAATGGGGATCAATGACATGCATCAACCAAGTCAGCGAGCCTGACCACCCGATCCCGTTAGTCGACTCTTACAACAAGCACAGTCGGCTTTTACGGCAAGCATGGGTTGCTGAAGACCTATTCGACCCTGGATCTTCACGGGTATTGTATTGGCGTAAAAGATATGATAATAATGAGACTGAGACTAGGGCTGAAGCATTTTGATGCAAAATAATATGTATTTTGAAATCTAAGTCACAATCATTGAGACAAACACCTGTCATGATAAAAATCTGTATTCAAACATTAAATGAATGACTTGAGGCCCAACCTAGACATATCAAATGTTATAAAAAATAGCTTGTGATCTTTTTATATGTTGCACATGCAGAAGTAATTTTATTAAAGATTCATGCTATAAAACACGCCTTCCGTATTGCTCTTATCAGTAATTGAGTCTGGACCAGACAATTAAGTGACTGATATTAAGAACAACAATCCACACTGTGTGTGTACAATGACAAGTTACAACCAAGTCACCGAGATGGACCCAGTCTACTAAGTCACCTCTTCAGGGGCGGTCGGGTAGCCTAGTGGTTAAAGCGTTCGCTCGTCACGCCGAAGACACGGGTTCAATTCCCGACATGGGTACAATGTGTGAAGCCCATTTCTGGTGTCCCCCGCCGTGATATTGCTGGAATATTGCTAAAAGCGGCGTAAAACCATACTCACTCACTCACCTCTTCAAGCATAAGCTGCAGTGGAATCTAACCTGGAATCTCCATGAGTGATATATTTTTTGCATGCTTAGAACTCACTTGTGTGGCATGAGAAGAAACCCACTGTTCATCAGTGAGGTCGAGAGATTTGGGTCGGACACAAGCTTCCTTCTTCCTCTCTGTGACTACTTCTTCTCCCTCTTCCTCCTCACTGACTTCATCCTCTGCCGGATCTGGGGTCCGAATCAGTCGGACAACGTAGTCTTTGCTGTTTGTTAGCTGTTTACACAAACAATTGTCAAAATGAATGAACTCACCATCAACAGAATTAACATGTTTTCATATTTGGCATAGATTCTGCACATAGCATTCCACACCACCTCCACGTGGCAACATACGGAGAGGTTACATCCTATGGCAGCCATGTAGCTAATTAGTTTAAGCCATGGCCTAAGTATGGGTAAAGTTTCAGAAAAAACGCTGAAATCGTAAAACAGATTAAAAGAAGCAAAAAATGTATCAATACTGCAGACAGTCTTACAGTTTCATCATAATAAAAAAGCTAATTAAGACGACATAACTTTGTTTTGTTTCTTGTTTACTCCGCAATATTCAAGCTATATCACAGGAACTCGACGATAGCGTGTATAGCATAATATATTCGTATAGAAAAAAAATTCACACCCCTCTATATATACATAGTCTATATGTATATAGAGGGGTGTGAATTTTTTTTATACAAATATATTATGATATACACGCTATCATCGAGTTCCTGTGAGCTATATATGTGACGACGATCTTTTAATAATAGTCTGGACCAGACAAACCAGTGATTGATATTGTAAACAACATTTCACGCAGTCGCGACTACCATGACACGCAATAAACCAAATCACCGAGCCTGACCGTCTCTAATTAATTACAGTCGTAACAAGCTACTGGTCAAGAAGATCAATCTTTCGGCTAACTATCGTCGGAGTATGTCATTACGTGTCCAAACTACGAGTTGCGCCCATATGGAACTCCCAATAGTGGCGTTACCCACCTGACCGACAATCAACCCAATGTGCCACTGTCCAGACTTAATTAGCTGTTCTATGTAGGCCTCTATGGCTTCATCAGCTTGAAAAGAACGACCCATGATCGTCAGTAGCACTTGATGCAAATCTACAACCTCATGCACTTTGTTGACAACATGGGCCGGAAGTATTTGCCAAGGGAGGCAACTCGCGATAACTCGCTTCGTCTTCCGCAGAAAATAAATATGATTTTATGTCGGAAAATTGAAATGGCCATACGAGTTCAAATTTTCTTCAACACGACAGCGTTCCTTTAACTTTTTGTTTACCAACAACATTCTGTGAACACGTGCCTCTGTTAGTTCAAGATTGTGGATACATGGCATATGAATAATTGATGTGTTTTGGATGTAAGAAATTAAATACCACACACAAAAACAACAATTATAACTGACTTTTCTGAATAATATGAGTGTGCTTTTGTTAACTAGGTCTTTAAATAATCCAGTTATTGATATTTCGAGAAGCGATCCGCGCCTCCTAAGTTCGTACGACCAACAGGGATCCATTCTAACCCGGAGTATTATTTAATCCCCTGAACAAAGTCGTTTCTTTTCTGCAACGTTTAGGGGGCGGTCGGGTAGCCTAGTGGTTAAAGCGTTCGCTCGTCTCGCTGAAAACCCGGGTTCGATTCCCGACATGGGTACAATGTGTGAAGCCCATTTCTGGTGTCCCCCGCCGTGATATTGCTGGAATATTGCTAAAAGCGGCGTAAAATCAAACTCACTCACTCACTCACAGCAACGTTTAAGGGTTGTTATACTTTGAGTGAGTGGGGTTAGGCTGCAGTCTGCAATATTCCAACTGTAAGGATCACAATAAATGTCAATTCATCCTCGATCAAAAGTACAAGTCACATTTCCATTTCCATCTTCATTCTCCATCTCATCTCATCATCAATTATCAATAATGACCCTCTTTTGAATTGGAAGATTGACATTTCTCCTCTATCCTTTACTTCTTGTTTTTTTTTGTTTTTTGTTACTGACCACATGGGTCCTCATTCTCTCCTTCCAGAAACTAAAAAGCATGCATGGCATGCAGCCTAAACAGAGTTACCGTCCTTGGCTAAACTCCCGAAGCATGCATAAAATAATAATCTTTTACATGCTAAATTTGGAATGAAAATTTAAGAAAAAATTTAACTTTAATAATTTGGAAAAATAAATAGAAATTATTTTAGAGATGTTATTTTGACCGTAACAAGCTATTTAACGGCGGCTTGTAAATAGTCAAGTCTGGACGATCAAACCCATTGTCCCACGCTTATGAGGCATGTTCAACTGGGTCACACGTTATAACAACTCGACCTTTATCAGACAATTGTTTGTTTGTTTGTTGTTTACGCCACACTCAGCGGTATTCCAGCTGTATGACGCCGGTCTGTAAATAATCGAGTCTGAACATCCGATCCTGGTAATCGCCTCTTACGACAAGCATGGGTTGCTGAAGACCCATTCTCTTCCCGGACGCACTGAGAACAATGTGTGGAGCTACTCGTGGTACCAGTCACAAGTCTCCATACTCTGAAACTAACCATACACCCTATCCAAAAGACGGCAATCTCTTAAATTAAAAACATTTACAAAATGGTTAACAAGTTGGCCCCTGAATATCTATGTAATCTTGTTCATCATAATGTCTCAGCGGGCGCACGTTACAATTTAAGAACTTCTTCACAGATACAGACTGTAAATGCTAGAACAAATCATTTTTACCCGACACAGTGCAAATGTGGAATGATAATGTTCAGTCAAAATTTACTGTAAATGACTTCACTAAATGTATCATCACGACAGAAATTCCTAAAATATATGGCTTTAACGTAGACTATGGTACCCATTTCTGTCAAATTATCCATTGCCGCCTCAGGTTAGGATGCAGTGATTTAAATGCACACAAATATCTTAGACATATTCATGATTCTACTACCTGCTCCTGTGGATATCATTATGAGGATCCTACACATTACTTCTTTTCATGTCGCAATTACTGCAATCTTCGGAACGATATGTACTACTATATAAAGGGATATGACTTGGATTCAGTATTATATGGAAATACTACAACATCTACTGATACTAACCTTGCTATTGTACAATCTGTCCATTTGTTCATTGCAAAGTCTAAAAGATTTAAAATCTAAATATGTCTTCTTTACGATTACATCAGTCAAATAGTTGTTTGTATGTCTGATATGCTGGTATGCTGTTTGTTTATGTACCGATATATGTATGTGTGTATTTGTGTGTGACTTGTATATTCGTATCATAATATTTGCAACAGTAGGTACAATTAATCTAAATTATTATTATAGGTACAGTTTACTCTCATTAATTGTTAAATGTCCTTTGTAGGGAGAGTTGTTTAAATAGGTTGAACCTGTTCACCAATCCCATTACTTTTTCTTGGAAATAGATATTGTTTAAATCATTCTCTACCCGGATCTTCACGGGTCTAGCTTCTACCAGTCAATTTTGTTTTGTTTTTTTTCCACCAAAATCCGTCAAAATGCATCATACATGTTCTGTATTCTGTATTCAAATTCTGCAATCGGTCTGTAAATTGCTTTTAATCCTGATACCAGGGGAGGCATCTGGAATTTGCTACAATATCGAGCAGCCGTAGTATTATGCAGACCTTGACAGTTAATAACTTTAACGGTTTGAAGTATTTGAAAGGCATTTAGAAGTGATACACATAAGGAAGAGAATTACTTACTTACTTACTTTGGAGATTTAACGTGCGCTTTCCGACTGATGCGTATTTCGCACACGGGCCCGGCCAGGCCATTAAATGTGTTTCCGAAAGGGTCGAAAGTGGTCTGTGCAACCCAAGAGATGGGTTTTAGGGGTTGCTTATATAGAATTTGGGAATTTTGAGATTTGGAATAGATGCCGATGGGATTGGGGAGGAGAACTAAGGGAGCTGGGTATGGTGGATGTTTGTTTATGTGATTTTGATTTGGTAGGTTATTGTGTTTTTAGATGCGTTTTATTAGTTCCGTTTTTATTAAGAATACGCCTAAGGCCTTGAAGTTTTCTAGTTTATTTTGTGGGTTTAGTATTGCTTCTAGAGTTAGAGCCTTGTTTAGATTGAGGGTGGTTTGTAATGCGGTTCGATGTGTTAGGTAGTGTGTGCAGTGGATGAGTGCGTGTTCTGGGGTTTCTGGTTGTTTGCAGTGTGGGCAGTTACTTGTAGTGTGTTTTTTTATTTTTTTTAGGTGGTTATTTAGGTTGGTGTGTCCTGTTTGGAGTTTAGTGATTACTCTGTCGATTTTTTTGGATGGATGGAGAATTTTTGGTTTGGTTAGTGGTTTGCTGAGCACTTTTTTGATTTGGCTATTTGAAGTGATACTCATAAGGAAGATAATTTATGGATGTCAACTGAGTCTAATGCTTGGGACTTATTGCTTTGATCTTTGTCAGTGCCAATTATCTATAGCTGGCTTCCAATTGCCCATTACTATTTCTGTTCCTTTACTCCGGCCTCCCGTTTGCCCATTGTCCATTGCCCATTGCCAATAACCTATCAGTGATAATTTAGTCCTGGCTTCCAGTTGTCCATAACTATCAGCGCTAATTACTGTAAAGTGTTGGCTTCCATTGTCTAATGCAAATCACCTATCAACGCCAATTATCTGTTGGCTTCCAATGCTAAGTTGCTATGTACACGTAAGAACAACAAAAGTAATATATAGTTATATATAGTTATTTATTTATCATATAATGGGTAGGTTTCTCGGCAGGATAAAGCCAACGGATAAAAACGATATCCGTTGGGGTCATATGCGGATAGAGATGCAAATATCAAAGGTCAAGTAGGGACTACTTTCAGTGTTTATAAACAAACATGGCGTCGCCCTTGTCATTCGGCGATCGAGTCAGAATTACCATCGGGATTCTGGATAAACTACAGGGATAATTGCTATCATTTTCAAAAGAACAGTCTAATATACTGAAAATCAGTGTCTAAATGTCACGTAGCTAAAGCATTATAAATTTTGGCAACTTTGGAGATATAAATTTCGAAATAATTTTGCGAAGGCACGAGGCCTAGCCTTGCGGGATCAGTAGCCAAATCTGTGCTTGTAGACCTCTGCGGCTTGAAACATTTTCCACAAATTAAAATAGTTGGATTTGGCCGAAATATGTTTGAATTGTTACCTTGTTTCGTTTTGTCGCTGTGTGTACATCTGACTACACTTCTTAACGTTATGACAGGACAGACCGACTGTCAACAACGTCTGACCGTGGCCGTGACGTTTCATAGACTAGGATTAGAGTAGCTTCCCTTTGACAAAGGGCAGTTACTCTACCGGACAGACCGATGGATTGCCGCGAAAGGCAAGTAAAAACAATTGATGTTTTGCGTATATGTTGCTTCGCCACTGTGTTAGAAACAGATTTCAGTTGGAACTATATTGCCTACTGTCACTGTCCGACTGACACATCACTTACCCTATGACGTAATGAATATTATTGCGCGCATTCCAGGAACACTCGCAATGTTTCAGCAATGTTTGTAGAGAGGGAAAACGATTTTCAAGCACAGAATTAAAGAATGACATCATATGACATAGAGGTTATCACGCGAGTGTTTTTGGGGATGGTAAATATCCTGTATCGGGAATAAACATTGTATTTAGCGAGGATTCGCAAAATTCAAAGTTACTCTTATGTTTAGAAAACACCTAGCATTTTCTGAGAGTTACTGTTACGTCTAAGAATTGTCTACAGAACGAGTTATAAAACCTCTTTGGAAGTAAGATAAGTGTTAGAGTGAACAAAAGTTGGGAGACCAGTACTTACGAATGTTCTAACACTACCTACTCTAAATGGTTGTTTGATGGTGATGTAGTTGGTACGGGTATCAAGGAAGTGTTTTGGACCTCAAGTTTGCAGACTGTGCTCATTCAGCCTTGTAACATCTTGATAACGTAGTGGCACTGGTGGCTCAGTCGTCTAAGGCGCTACAATTCACTATGCATAGTTGCGTTCCTTGGGTACGCCAGAAACCTATGATCTTGGGTTAGATTCCCGGTTCGCCCCGATTATGTTTCTAGGTTTGTCAGCACCACACGCGTGCTCATGGGTTTCACCAAAGTGGTAAACGTCTGAGACCTGCATCACTTCGGGCTTTCCTCCCAC